AACTTATAGTCCTAGCTCTCCAGGATATAGTCCGACTAGTCCTGCCTATTCTCCTACCAGTCCATCGTATTCTCCGACTTCTCCCAGCTACAGCCCTTCATCACCTAGTTACAGCCCTACATCTCCTAGTTATAGTCCTACATCTCCCAGTTACAGTCCCACGTCTCCGAGCTACAGCCCAACATCCCCCGCTTACAGCCCAACCTCACCTGCATATAGCCCAACTTCACCATCTTATAGCCCAACATCACCTTCCTACAGTCCAACATCACCTTCCTACAGCCCCACTTCACCCTCCTACAGTCCCACTTCCCCCTCGTACAGTCCCACATCTCCCTCTTATAGTCCCACATCGCCAGCTTATAGCCCAACTTCTCCGGGGTATAGCCCTACATCTCCAAGTTATAGCCCTACCTCGCCAAGCTACAGTCCTACATCTCCTAGTTATAATCCCTCTGTTAAGTACAGCCCTTCGCTTGCGTATTCTCCAACCAGTCCAAAGCTGTCGCCTTCAAGTCCATACAGCCCTTCCTCTCCAAGTTACAGGTATGCGAATGTCTTTCTTTTTTTGTAGACTCCTATATTTCTTTTAGACAATTGCATATTCATTTTCTTTAATCATGAGTTGGTGTTAATGAATTTACAATTGCTAAGTAATTAGAGTACACTGGACAGCTTAAACCTACAGTCACTTTTCTCATGTATTCTACTTTTGTTTGTTCTGCAGCCCAACATCCCCGTCATATTCTCCGACTTCTCCATCATATTCTCCTTCCAGTCCGACTTACAGTCCTAGCAGGTAACTTTTATGGTAATTGTTGCTCGTGCATGATCTTATGGTATCAGTAAACCATGATGTTTTGGACAAGACGTAAACATTACCTTTTTATTTTGCAAATGTTAAAAAGAAATTTCTCTGGTTGTTTACTATTCCTTGTTACCCTGTTAAAATTTTGGGAGGTTTCGTAAATAGTGGATGTCCTATTATACTTCTTTCACAACTATGAAATGTTGAATATGATTTTATGAAATTTGGGAATTGTTTAGTCTTATGCGCTGCAAATTTCCTTTTTGCTGACTTCAACTGATTTCCTTCGTCCATTACCCCATTTACAGTCCATACAACTCTGTGGGTGAGCCAGACTATAGTCCAAGCTCTCGCCAATACAGGTATGAGTGGAATATTATATCAGGGTTAACGCGTGAAGAGTTTCTTCTCTGGAAGTGTAAATCTTATATTTGTTTTTGTGCAGTCCAACTGGTGGATATTCACCAAGTGCACCTGGGTATTCTCCGTCATCTACAAGTCAATACACTTCCCGGACCAACGACAGAGATGACAAAAGCTCCAAGGACAAGAGCCGCCTTTGAATAAGTTTTTGAAGAAAAACTCTAGCATCAAATGAAGCTATATTTTTCTTTTTTTCGTCTGAAAAGCCTATCTGTTACTCGGTGTTGGTGTTGGAAAAATTCTTCTTTTGATACCAATACTAGAATTATGTATATCCAATATTGCGACGAAGACTGCTGGATCTATACACTGGTTTGTTTCAACTTTCATGTATACATTTTGGTTTTTGCTTGGAACTGGAATGATTTTGGTTTATAAATTTCCATCTTAGTTTCCTTCCTTAATCAGGATACATCACAAGTTTTATGGCAGTGTGGTACAAGTGGAATTGAAAGTAGATATGTATGTATATCAAAAGTTAGTAGTCATCTGGTGGTAATAAAATTTATTGTTAATATCAAATGCACCCGAGATATGGTCAATTATCTAAAAGATCTGCATATTTAGAAAAAAATATCAAATACATCCTTTGATGGTTCAAACAGAAATGTCTCAAATATGAGGACTGCATTTGTAACCATCAACCTGGTTCAAATTTCTCTGGTGCAAGGTAAAAGTAAAACAGGATTTCCAAATGCACATTTTCTATAACTAGGGTTCTCATTCGTGTCAAGCGCCGCTGACCTCGCTATCAGTTTGCACGCGTATCTTTCCAGTGGATCACGTCCAAGAGAAACATAATCCTAGTTTCTCCTCCGCTCATTCATGGAGAACCACACTCGTATTCGAGACCAATCCAAAAAGGGCAAAAACCCGAAAACATCATGGTTCCTCAACATCGAAACATTACATCCCAAGCTCCAAATCTAGAGGTTCTGGCATACAGAACAACACATTTTTAAGGTACTTCAAAATAAAAATTTTCATGCAAAATGGTTAACTTGTAGCAACACATTTTAATGGAAAAGGCGTGATTTGTTTGGGTCGACTATTCTTCCAATTGATTTGTTATCTGTTAACCAGTTGTCCAGAACTGCTTTGTTTAGGTTCATTTGCTAGCCTAACTTTTGTTTGAAGCAAAGAAATCATGACTCAATCTAATTAAAGCTGTGGGAGAGGTGGTAAGTATGTAAGCATACTGTCATGGTCCTTTTCAACGTAAAACACCTTTAAAAATATCCATGAATAATTTAAGATGAAGAGGTTGTAAAACTAGCTTCTTTAATCGTTTTTGTTCATATTTCCTTTATGTTAGGAATTGATTAAACAAAAATTCCTGGTAAAGTAGGTTATCCCCTGAACCAGACATTTTTAAAGTGACTTATTGAAAGTGACTTATTGAAGATGATCCCCCTTATCTTCTTTGCATTTACCATCTTATTAATCCATCCATGCAGATAATGGCTTCTTCCTTTTTTTTTTTACCCGCACGGTGTCCCAAATATTTTTATACAAAGACTAATTCGCACCGGGAAAGTCTCCTTTCGAAAAGTAAGTTCTTCCAAAATTGCTCTTTCTATTCACGAAATTTAAACGCAAGACCTCACTTAAGGGAACTAAAAGACCTTACCACTTTGGCCAAGTAAGTGTCGATAATGGCTTCTTCCTTTTGGTGTTCTCGCCTTTAGTACCATGTACTTAATCATCAGCTAGAACCTTACAAATATGTTCATCTGTGTTTCCCAATTTCTTGGTATGATGTCATTTACACTTTTACATATGGTGATGAAATTCTGTATTCAATTATCATTATATTAAAATGAATCTAACTGCCATATTAATTTAGTTTAGTTGAATCTGTCTCGAAATTTTAGCTCTTAACTACCACTTATGGATCCTCCGCATATTCAATGAGAGATTGGCAACATTAAAAAACCAAAACCCGTCAAACAAGATCACGGTTAAATCGATAATGACAGTCAAATACCCAGTTGTCAAAACACTAACTTTAAAAGGTTCATCTAGATCCCAACATTAATTTACCGTCATTAAGGCAACTGCAGAAGAGTTCTGGCCACGAAACCAAGTTACCAAGTTACCATTGTTAAAGGTTCATCTAGACCACAGACATTAGTTTTAACCTAGGCAACCATACAAAAGTTCTGCCATGACCATGAACATAGCAAAAATACATTTTCATATTTCAACTACTAATAGATACCATCAGCAGAAACGTACTTCTCCACACCAATCTTCAAAACAAAGTTTCCCATAACTTGTGCAGAACTTCATTCAACTGCCAGTCCTAAAGCCAACAACACTTCTGCACCAAAAGAAGAGGGAAAAAAGGAATCGTCAGAGTAATGTAGTTTGTTATCTCAGGGCTAATCAAGACCTAATGGAGCTCATAAGGCATATGAAAAGAGAAACCCAATCATTCAGGAGGAGCAGCGCATCTACAGAATTAGACATGAAAGCTCCTTCCAGTCCTATATATTTAACTTTTCATTAGAAAGAATCACCAAATGCAGCCTCCCCAAACTTTAAAAATCTTGTGAAAGCCGTTTCTAGTGACAATGCAAAACTTCTATGCGTTGCAAGAAGAACAAATAAAGTTCGCATAGTCCCAGAGCAACCAAATTAACTCCGCAGCAGAAACGAGACAAAAGAACTAATATTGCATACAACTTCACATAAGCCCAGCCAACCACGACCTTAAAAACAAGCATCAATACATATACCAAATGTGGACTAAAAATAAGCAGGCCGAGCATTATAACTGACCTAATAAGGTGATGGAAAGAAAGCCATGATTAGTTAGAAGAGAGTGATACAACTGCAAGAATGAGTTGTTTCAGATTCTGAATAAGCTCGTCGAAAGCCCCAAAAATTACTACCACACAAATGCTGAAGAAGTGGAACTATGCATAATTAAATGCATTACTGCAGAGCACATATTTCAAATCTCAATGTATCAGCCTATCAGGACAAAAGAGGAACTAAGAGTTTAATTATGAAATGGACAATTAACATTTTTTTACACACTATGAGTAGCTGAAGAGAACTGGAATGGAGTACGCAAAGGGAAAACAAATTCTACAATGAAGCTGCAGTGCAAACATCTAAGAATTTCTTTAGTTGCAAGCTCATGTATTCGCATTAGAGACCATCTCACCATATTAACATTACAAAAATTTTGCACATTCCACGGCCTCATTAACCTATATGGTAAGCTAGAATCTGTAAATAAGCAATAAGTTTTTCAGCATCCAAAATAGCGTCTCCATTAAGCAACAGCGGTACCAATAAGCTATGTTGGTTACAATGTCTAGTGACTTTGCACCAAAAGTGATCAATCAAAAGGAGAAAAGGCAAACACCAAAAGCACGACTGAACATGAGATGTTAAGAACTATTTAGAGGCTACCTATTTTAGAAAAGAATCAAAGTGTCGCAGATCTTCTATCACAACGCATGCCTTCACAGATTCAATACAACTAGAAACAAACGGTGGAAGTATCAAAAACCTGAACTCCCGGCTAACTGTTACTCTTTGACCAAGCTTAAAGTAAGATATAATAACATAATAATACTGCACACTTACTTAAAATGCTAGAGTTGGAACCGGTACACTATAACAAGAAGCATAAAACATTACCACACAAAATGAGCTGATAAGTAGTACAATATATTTCACAACATTGAATAAGCACAAATTTAGGTACCAATAGGAAAGGCATTGCAGTAAAGTGGCCAGTTCCTCTTACCTATTACAGACGGAGCTGAATCATGACGACATCATCTGTATCAGGATCGCTCACCGGCCCTTTTGCATCGTGATCATTAACCAAAACCAAACTATCAACAACAACCTCAATCAGCCAAGGTTCTCCCATGCGATTAACACAAGGACATGTCACCGATTTAGTCTTTGGGTCAGAAAGAGCCATCAACTTCCAGAAACCAAAGAGAATTTTCCCATCCTTGGACATGAAAACCGGTTGGCATGACATCTCACGGCAGGGATCCATGTATTTAGGAACTAGAAGCACTCTGGTCCAAGATTGTTTCCCCCCATTTTCCTTCATTATCCACATATTGACATGACTAGTCCGATGATAACAGCACACAGCCAGATCATATTGGAGAACTCCAAAAACCATATCACAACTGCCCTTACCATGTTTAGGTTGTTGCAGCATTCCACATGTTCCAGTCTTCAAGTCAAAGTAATGAATCTTGGCCTTTTCGCTAGTACCTTTTCCCCAGTAAATCTTTCCACTCAGAAGAAAATACCGTTCACCCATTCCACCAACAAAGCCATGAATCCTCCTCCACTTGTTCGTGTTTCCACTATACACAGCAATCCATTTCTCCTAAAAAGCCAGAATACAGAGTTGATAATCATCATCAACCTGGTTGTACCCAAACAAAGCTTGAATCTGACCCCGTTCCTTTGGCAAGTCACGAAATCGAGGCAATTCCTTATACTTTCTAATAGTAGGGTTCCGGAAATAGAAATCCTTCTCCACGTTAATGCAAACAATGCCGTTAGCAGCAGCCACAATAGGAGCCTTGCTGCTATTGATAAAAGGATCCTCCACAGGTTTTGCCTCAATAACAGAGTATTCATCACCAAAGAAGACAGGGGCAAGAGGAAAATACCTAGTTTCGAAGCTGCAGAGCCTGGTGTAACCCAATGTCTTGGCACATCGAACAAAAACGCTGTGGCGTGCGTAAATCGTCCCTGTACGACGATTTCTTGAGCTGAGATTTGATGAATTTCATAGTCGATATCACAGCTCTCCAGGATTTTGAGACGCAGCGGAATCGAAGGAGGGTTTTGGCAGGGAGCCAAGTGAGAATCTCGATAATGAGTTCATTTGGGAGGGATTCAAAGGATTTTTCAACGGAAGAGCCTGAAATCGCTTGCTTAGGGTTAGGGTTCGAAGAAGAATTGATCGGTTGCAGGGTTTCTTCCATGGCTGAATGCTCGATTCAGGGGAAGAAGATGAACGATTTTGGGAAATGAGGAGAGGGTTTTAATTTTAAACCTTAAAGTTAGGGTTTTTGTTTTTTACTTTTTGTAGAGGCGGGAATTTTGAATTTTTAATTAATTTTAGTCTATTCTCCTTAAGGCGTGAAACTTTACCACAACAAATACACGCCTATGGGTTCACATACAGGTGGAATAAGGGAAAGCGTGAAGCTTATGTCGAAGTCGCACTGTATTGGGCATCAAGTTATTGTTTGATGTAATTTTTGTTATGTTTATTTTTCCGAAACAATGTGAAAAATCGCCGTCCTTAGCTAGATAATTGTCATGGCCCAAGTTTTTCTAAGGCCCAAAATGGTCCAAACCCAATATTCAAAAATCTCCAGAATGACCTAGAGTGTGTGAAAACTTCTGGGTTGCTATAGAATCTTCTAGTCTTGTAAGTTGTTAACTTGCACAACTTCAATTTGGAGACAACTTGGAGATAACTTGGTGACAACTTGCCAACTTGACTACTTGGCAACTTGTTAGATGTAGAATCTTCTAGGCAAGCAACTTGCATGCAAACTTGTAGGAAAAACTCTAAATTTGTAATAGTTTATTAGTGTTCATACTTGGGGAGTAAGTTTATAAATAAGTCCAAACACCTTCATTTGTAATCATTTCCCATGTTTGAGAAAAAATTTCTCAAACTTTCTTAAAACTTTCTTATTATTAATTTTCCAAGCTTTCTTTCAACCTCTATTGTTTCTTCATAACTTTTGCACGATTTGAGGATCTAGGTTGACTTAGCACTTGAATCGTTCAAGGTTTTAGTCTAGCGACGCACGGTTTTACCTTGAGAAAAATTAGCCCGTGACACAATGAAGTCGATGAATTAGTTGAGAGATGTAAAATATTATACGATTTGTAACCGACTTGGTATATCTCAGTCCGGCAACTCAGTCGACAACTCCACGTTGAATAACATTACAAGAAACTAATAAATCAACTAGCTTCCCCGTCATAGAGTCGAAACATCTTCTTTATTGGTTGCCAATATTGCCATGCACGTTTTCATCAGTTGGAACCTTTGAAATTTAATGATTAGTTTGTTGGTAAATTTTCATACTTCTACGCTTTTACATATAGTGATCGAAGTTGTGTATTCAGTGGGGAAAAAAAATGTATGCCATAGTGAAATTACTATCATTACTCCAAGCTTCTGACGATTCCATTACTTGAAAATAAATCCAACTGCCATCTCAAAGAGTGGAATCTGTCTTGAAGTTTTGGCTCTCAACTACTTTGATTCAATGAGAGATTGGCAACACTAAAGAACCAAAAGACATCAAACACGGTGATCACCGCTAAATCTCCAATGACAATCACATACCGAGTTGTCAAGAAAACTACATTAAAGGTTCACTAGACCCCGAAATTAACTTACCATCGTTAAGGCAACTACAGAGAAATGTTCTGCCCACAAAACCAAGTTACCAACAGCTACATTAAAGGTTCACCTAGACCCAATATTAGTTTTACCATTGTTAACGCAACCATACTAAAGTTTCTTCCCATGAACATAGCAAAATACACATTTTCAACTACTAATATATAGCATCAGCAGAAGTAATTCTCCACCAATTCTGCAGATCTTCATTCAACTGCCAGTCCTAGAGCCGACGACACTTCTGCACCAAAGGAAAAAAGTGGGAAAAAAGACAACATTAGAATAATGCTGATTATCGTATACTCTTTTATTTCATATCACAGCCCAAGACCTAATGGAGCTCATAATGCATATGAGAGGATAAATACAATCATTCAGGAGCACCAGCCGCATCTATAGAATCAAACAACAAGCTCCTTCCCATCCTTAACACTCAAAACAACTTTTCATAGGAATGAACCACCATATGCAGCCTCCTTAAAATTTTAAAATCTTATGTTGTTTCAAGACGGAATGCATATCTTCTACGAATTGCATCAAGAACAATAAAAGTTTGCATATTCCTGGACAGCAACCAAATTAAGATCATTGCACAAACAAGACAAGAAACTACTATTGCATATAACCAATTAAGATCGCTGCACAAACAAGACAAGAAACTACTATTGCGTACTATAGGAACTGCAACTTCACATAAGCCTAGCCAACCAACCTTAGAAACAAGCATCGTAAGATTACAACCCATTGTCTAAAACTAACCAGGCCGAGCACCATTACTGGCTCACTAAATTGATGGGAAGCAAGCAGTGAGTAGTAAAAAGAGTGATACAACTGTGGACTGAGATAGCTCGTAGAAAGCCCAAAAGTTATGACCACAAAAATGGAAAGAAAGCATGGAACTAACCGAACTTCATACTTATAGCTGAGCACATCTTTCATAGCCAAATGAAGCAGCACTAAAGAGGAACTAGAGTTAAATACGAAATGGACAATAAACGTATTTGTACAGATTCTGAGTAGCGAAGAGTACTGGAATGGAGTTAGCAAATGGAAGAAAGATTCTACGGTGAAGCTAGGTGTGCGACTCTCAAGATCTAAGAATTTTATTTGTTGCAAGCTCAAGTAATCACATCAGGCACACATCTCATGATATTAAGAATCCCCCAAAAAGAAAAAAAAAAGAAAAAAGATTAAGACATTTGCTTGAATCAGTAAATAAGCAGATTTTAACTGCCCCAAAAAGAGTGACCCCATTTCCTAACAGTCAATTGCCAAGGTGCCAAAAAGGTATGTTGCATTCAAAGTCCAGTGATCTTGTACCAAAGGTGATCAATCAAAGGGAGAAAGGCAAACACCAGAAGCAGGCAGATGAAATGTAAGAATTATAGGTGTGGCAGATAACTATCACACAGCGTTCCCTTACAGATTCAAGACAACTTGAAACAAACATGGAAGCTTCAAAAACTAGAAATCCACGAACTACTGCTCTTTCTCCTAGCTAAAAGTAAGATAGAACAGGTTAATATTAAGTTTTACATGCTAGAATAGGAACCAGAACACTAACTACTATAAACTAGGAACTTTGCCACTAACAAGATGAGCAGTTAAGTAAAATAATATCATAACATCATTGAACAGCAAATTTAGGTACCAGTAGGTGAAGAGCTGCAGCAGAGATGACTTGTTCCTCTTACCTAGTCCAGGCGGTGCTGAATCATGACGAGACCATTTGTCCCAGGATCCGCCACTGGCCCTTCTGCATCGTGATCATTAACCAAGAATAAACTCTCAACAACCACCTCAGACAGCCAAGGTTCTCCCATGGGAGTAACACGAGGGAATGTCACCAATTTAGTTTTTGGGTCAGAAAGAGCCATGAATTTCCTGTACACGAAGAAAATTTTCCCATCCTTGGACACGAGAACTGGTTGGCAACACTTCCTACCGCTGGGATCCTTAAACTTAGGAACCAAAAGCATTTTAGTCCATGATTGCTTCCCGCCATTTTCCTTCATCATCCACATGTCAATATGACTTGTCCGATGATAACAGAGGACATCCAGACCACCTTCGACAGCTCCAAAAACCATATCAAAAGTGCCATTACCATAATCAGGCTGTTGCAGCACTCCATATGCTTCAGTCTTCAAGTCAAGGTAACAAATCTTTCCCCTTCCACTAGTACCTTTTCCCCAATAAAGCTTTCCACGCACAAGAAAATACCCTTCGCGCATTCCACCTACAAAGCCAGGGATCCTCTTCCATGTGTTGGTGTTTCCACTATACACCGCAATCCATTTCCCAAAAGCAATAAGACAAACTTGATGATCATCTTCATCCTCATTGTACCCAAACAAGATTTGAACCTGCCCCCCTTCCTTTGGTAAATCATAAAATCGAGGCAATTTCTTAAATTTCCTAAGAGTGGGGTTCCAGAAATAAAAATCCTTCCCCCGGCTAACACAAACAAGGCCATGAGCAGCAGCCACAATTTGAGCATCGCAGCTATTGATAAACGGATCCTCCACTAGGGTTGAGTCAATAGTAGCGTTGATATCACCAAAGAAGACAGGGGCAACAGGAAAATACCTAGTCTCGAAGCTGCACAGCCTGGTGTCACCAAGTGTTTTGCAACACCGATACAGAACCCGATGGCGTGCGTAATCGTCCCTGTTCGACGATTTCTTGAACTGGGCTTTGATGAATTTCGGAGAAGAAATCGCATCCCGCCAGGATTTCGACACGCAGCGGAATTGAAGCAGGGTTTTGACAGGGAGCCAAGTCAGAATCTCAATTATCACTTCATTTGGAAGGTTTTCAAGAGTTTCCTCAAAAGTACAGCCGGAAATTGCTTGCTTGGGATCGGGGTTCGAAGAAGAATTCATCGGTTGCAGGGTTTCTTCCATAGTTGTGAATCACGAAAAGCTTCAGAGGAAGAAGATGATGAGAAATGAGGGTTTAAACCTTAAAGGTCGGGTTTTTTATTGTTTGTTTTAGGCTTCAGTGGTGGGAATTCGGGATTTTTAATTTAAATTTGCAGTTTACTCCTAAAGGCGTGAATTTTTGCCCGCAAAGTTTACACGCCTCTTGTTATTATTATTCAACTCGTGATCACAAAAGCAGAAAATGTCATTTTATTCTTGGAAAGTTTTTGGATCTAGGTGCTGCACAGTTGCAAATCAATGTGTAAAAGGTCCGGTTCCCGTCGATTTGATCTGTCTAGCATTGCGATGCGCGAGGTTTGAAACCACCCCCGACGAACGAATTGGACTGTCAAAAATATGCATTTGTAACCATCAAAGGTAAAAAGTAAAACAGGAAAGAGTTCTGTATTCCATTTACAAATGATTATGATGAGAACATCCATATCCAGTGTATCTTAGCAGTGTAAATAGTGCATCTTGAGGCTGCCCGTGGTCTCGCATGTACAATGCAGGTGAAGTTGAATATACTGCGTCATGGAGTGCGTGCATTGGGCTAATGGAAAGGCAATCATGTATGGAGATTTGTTCCAAAATGCCTCCGGAATTCAGCCATCTTCCTTGATGTCTTGGCACCTCTGGTTTCAGGAATAGCTTTAGCTGATTGGAGTAGTATCCTCTCGCGGTCATCTAGAAGCATTTTCGCGTACAGTGAAAGGAAGAAATTCCCATATATATGGACATTGTCTTCCGGAAATTTGTTGTAATGGCCAACATCTGGCGGGCTGGTGCTGCTCAGGCTTGCCAATTAGTTCTGTCGCAGCATTTAAGCTACTTAGCATGAAAACGTTGGAAGGAGAAAACAGATTGATTGAGTGACATGGCAAGATCGAACGTAATTAAATTCAAGAAGCAAAATTAGACACTGAAAAGGTATGTAAAACTTGGTGAGAACTGAATGCCATTTACCTTGTCAATGCACTGAAAAGCTCCTGAAACTTCTATCTCCATCCACGTCCCGGTATGATGGATAATGTAGCTTGTCGGCTAGTCCCGTTCCTACCTGTATTTCCTGATACCCAAATTTGACTGGAAGTTAGAGGACATAATGTTGAAGAAAAAAGGTGTAGAATAGTCACAAAATATGGTCTTCCCACAATAGTTTCACTGAGAAGTTGCTCACTCTGAATGCCTTCTTATAACTCACAACAATTGAATAACACAAAACAGTTGTTCTTCCTCTGAGAGCTGGCGTAGTGTCCCGTCCAAGACTAAGAGAAACATATTCCTAGTTTCTCCTCCGCTCATTCATGGAGAAACACACTCATATTCAAGACCAATCCCAAAAGGGCAAAAATCCGAAAACATAATGGTTCCTCAACATCTAAACATTGCATCCATGAATAAACTAGCTCCAAATCTAGAGGTTCTGGCATAAAGAACAACACATTTTAAGGTACTTGAAAATAAAAAATTTTATGCAAAATGGTTACCTTGTAGCAACAGCCAACAGCCAACAGTCAACAGAAGAATGAGCAGTGGGCGGTCAGTATGACTAGTCGACAAGGTACATTATTGTGTCCAACAAGAATGAGCAATGAGAGGTTCTTCTTGGTGTTATCTTGATGCTCTGATAATTCCATTTATTCTCCACTCCACATATGCAGTCTGTTGTAGCCTCCAAACCTCTAACAAACCCCTGGAAAATCTTTTACTTTACAGCAAATGATAGCAATTAAGTGGAAATGCATATAACACTACAAGAGGCGATCAATATCATAAGTTAGTTCAGATCAGATAGTTGCTTTGGCAGAGAGAAGAACAAGAGGGAGTCAAAAGAGCACCTTGAAGCACAAAGAAATGTATTTGGCTCTGCAACAACAAAGCCATTTTTACTATCAAAAATCGGTGCACATAGTCTACCACAGCTAAGATCCAAATCCAACCAGTTTTTAAGGCAGGGAAATACTGTTGATAAAATGTAAGTTTTACTTTAATCATGATAATCAAATCTTCAGCGAGAGGAAACTAATTGAGGTAAACATCAATGGGAAATGAAGAAATTAAGAAGAGATGGCGAGAGACAAAGAATAACATTTTGTAGGGGGGCAAAAATCTAAATCATCAATAAATATTCTGAGAAATTTGCTAATCTTAGTCCAAGAGATTTTGAACATGTATACATGTAAGTTAGAAGTTGTGCTGCAAGAACAAGTGTTCCTGAGGAGAAGCAGGACCAATCTCTTCTTCCAAACTTATCAGACCATCTCCATGATTTGTGCCATTTGCCAAGTTTCTTGAATCTAAGTTCTTCCCTTCAACAACATCTGCATCAGAAACTGAGGACTTCCTCCTCTGAGAAGATGTCACACTAGGAAAAGTAATCCACGACGGAGCTCTAAATTCAATTCTTTGATCTTCCGCATCTGCCATGTCTGTTTCAGAGGCTGATCGATTAGACGATCTTTGAGATGATTTCTTGTGCATTCTGCTGCTTCCCAAGACTACCTCAGTAGGTAAGATGGGCTGCTCATTGCTTGGATTTCCCATCAGGATTGCAAGCGCACGCTCTAAAGCAGTAGTCACTTTGTCCATGGATGGCCTTTCTTTACCTCTCATTCTCACACACTTGCTCGCAATATTAGCAATCCTCCTTAAAGCTTCAAGATCAGATGGTGCTTTGAGAATTGGATCTAGGATTGATTGTATATCCCCAGCTTTTATGAAAGGGACTGCCCATTCAACCACATTTCCTTCTTCATATTGCATATCGATTGCTTTCCGCCCGCTTAGAATTTCCAAGAGAAGGACACCAAAGCTATAAACATCGGACTTGGTAGTGAGATAGTGAAGTCTATAGTACTCAGGATCAAGATAACCAAGAGTTCCGGCAGGTAGTTCAGCCAGCGGAGAACTGCTATTAGCTGGTCCTAACAAGGAGAGCCCGAAATCAGAAACTCTGGCATTATGCTCTTCATCTATGAGGATGTTTGAGGACTTTATGTCTCGATGAATAACAGGAGGGCAAGCATAACCATGCAAATATTCAATCCCTCTAGCGGCTTGGACAGCTATGGTAACTCTCCTCACCCAGTCAAACTGCTCCTTCGTTACATTATTGTTTTTTCCATGGAGATGTTGATATAGTGATCCATTAGCCATGAACTCGTAAACTAGAAGCCTCTCTCCGCCTTCTTCGCAATAACCAAGCAAATTGAGTAAGTGAGCATGGTTTAGCCTTGAGAGCAAATCTAGCTCAGTATGGAATTCTTTGGAGTTCTTTTTCATGTCAGGAGAAATAATAGCCCTCTTAACTGCAACAACAGTCCCATCTTTCAAGACTCCTTTGAACACGCACGAAAAGCTTCCTTTTCCCACTTGTGATTCTTCTTTAAAACCACCAGTGGCTTTCTCAAGTTCCTCATATGTAAACATCTTTGCCCTCCTAATATTAAGCTCATCCAGCTGGTCAGCCTTGACTTTTCCTGCCTCAGTGTGGAAAGAACTCGTTGCCCCACTTCTTTTGGATTTGGAATTCTTTCCTGGGCAACGGCAGTTCCTTAACCTGTACCGGACGTATAAAATCGACGACAGAGTTACAACACTGACCAAGAACACAGCGAATGCAACCTCGGCAACTATAATGGGAAGCTGGGAAGCAAAAGACTGATAATTCCCAGGTTTTTCTGCTCCAGAAGCACCAGAACAATTTGAGAAGCAATCAGCTGAGGTGCATCTTGAGCAATTGAATTCGCACAACCGATCAGATGTCAAAGAGCAGGCAGACTTCTCGTACATTTCAGCAGGGCAACCACCACTGCAGGGAAGGCATATGTGTGAACTGGGAGACTTACAAGGTGCGCTTGAATTATCTAATTCATAGAAACCAGGTTCACAAGGTCTAGGCTTGCATAATCCAGGAGCAACAGCCATCGGTAGAGATGCAGGAAAACCAGCACCCCAGCAAACAGGAAGAAGAGACATGTGCACAAGAACACCGCAAGTGAAGTAATCCCCAGCTGCAATCTCAAAAAGTTTGACACTAGCAGGAGGGGGAGTGCTGTTCTCAACATGATAACCCCAACAAACAACTCCGCGATCGTAACTTCTAATTCCACAAGCATGAAACCTTCCACCAACAATGGCAAGCATTGGATCACTTGGCGCCAAATCAACATTAAGGGATGCAGAATATTGCAGACTTACCTCTTTATCAAAGTCTAAACTTCTTCCCCAACAAACAGGTCTGGAGTTTAGCCCTTCCAATATCCCACAAACATGGAAACCACCTGCTGCAATGCCCCGAAACCTCATTTCCTTTGGTATTTGGCTAATGACCCTGCTACTAGTCTCATCACCCCAACAAAAAGCACTTCTATTCTGAGAAAACAAACCACAATTGAACGCTGAACCAGCAGATAAGGACTGGATTTGACCATCAAACTCGTAACTTCTAGTCATGTTGTAACCCCAACAGTCTACAAGTGATATGTTTCTGAGGTATCCCCACAACGGTTTTCTTAATCCGCACAAATGATGATCTCCTGCACTTATTTCCAAGTACTCAGACCCATCAGCAATAGGTTGAGGCACTCCCATCTGAACAAAGTTACTGTTTCCCCAACAATAAGGCTGGTTAACGTGCATTAGTAGTCCACAAACAAATCCATTCCCGGCTGTTATGCCTATGAAAGGTATACGAGGCGGAGTTCCATACATTACCGCATAATTAGAACCATAACAGGCCACAAGGTGTGAACCGTCTGATTTTAGGCCACAGAAAACAGGACCAGATTCACCATATGAGATGGCGATTGAAGCCATGGATCCCAAGCCTAACACTCTTCCCCATGAATCCCAGGAAATAGCCAAGATTAAAACTACTGAAAAAAATCTAGCTTTGCAGGTGTAATAAACCTTGGAAGAGCTAAATACAGGATCTTCTAACAAGACCCTCAAAATGTCCATTAGCAGAAACTTAAATAATATCTACTAATAGGAAGATACAATATCGCCTACAAGTTCAAAACAGAACTTACATGTTTCTATTCTCCATCTTTTCTGCATTTATTCACTTCACATTAAGAACTACATCCCATCCATTGAACTCTGCTTGTCCTCTCCAGGCTACTTTTTATGATTACAAAGCAAAACATCTCGGCGAACATAAGTAAAAAAAATTCCCAACACCAAGAAAAGATCAGAATAGCAAAAGCCAAACAGTACCAGACATTATGAAAAAAGCTTCTGAATCGAACCAACGTACCCAAAAAAACCAGCATAAGCAGGATCTCAGTCTCAGTCTCTCACAACACTCTGGGATTTCCAAGGAAACCATCCATCGTACTATTATTCAAACAACACTAAAAAAATGATCCGGGCAGCTTACCATTCCACTAACCTCACCAGTCAGCTAAATGAGGAGCAGCCCTCAATAACATTATTCATTATTCACTGTTTTACAGCTTGAAAAACTCTGTTTTTGAGGTCCATTTCCTCTAGAAAAACAATTTCTTGAAAGTTGAAACTTTCTTGTCTGTAAAACTTGAAGAGATGTAAAGGGACCTTTTCGTTTGGGGGGTTGAAGCCTATAATAACTGCATTGTGATGAAGAGGTGGTGGGAAGATGAAGATGGTTTTTTTAGTGGGGTGTGATGAGACTGTGTGAAGGTGAGAGAGAAGAAAAAGAGAAGTAGGGGAAAGCAACTGGCAAGATTACATTGAATGCAATACAACAGCAGCTTCTCAAAAATGGTTCAAGTGTAGGTGAAGGCATTAAATGAAGGCAAGTGAATGCTTGAATTGAATAAAAATTTGATCTTTTTTTTTACCCCTCAGGCCTGGATTTCTGCACACATGTCCCCTGTTTTGTTTTCTACTGTCATTTCTATTCTATCAACTCTTTTACTTTGACTTTGGTGGCAATAATTTTTTTCTCCCATGCATAATCTCTATTATTTTAGGATTCTCTTTTGAGCTAAACACAATAATATATAGTATCTCCCTGTGATTAGGGCAGTAAACATAATATTTAAGCTAAGCTTGATCAATTATTTAACTGCTCGTATCCAAGCTTCGGTTTGATGGACTATTAGCCATAGGGTTTGAACGAGGTTTAAACAAATCACAAACTCCAAGCTCAAGCAATGCTTTAGCATTTATTTAACTTTGAATTGATTTCCACTTTCGTCTTTTGCCCAGTTACGATTTGGGGTAACATAAAAAAAAAAAAAAAACTAGTAGATAGAAGAGAAATTTTGATGTAATGGATGCAAACAAAAATGTCAAAGACTCAAAGACACCCCTGAAGTTAAAAGAAAAATTACCATGAAAGAGATGGAACAAGCGAACTTTCACAGTGGCCTTCCTTATACAGTCCTGCCCAACACCTCTGTGGGAAGTGACCCCAACTATGAAATTGAAACCCATCTGAATGAAGATGGTGCCGGACTAACGGATGCCATTATTCTAGTAGCTTTTTACTTTACCAAGATCTGTAGAAAATGACCACTAAACCATAAGGTAGATTTCAACACCATGGAAACACTTGAAACTTCTCTTATATGGTAAAACCAGGAGTCCTTTGAGTCTTGAACTAATCTGACATTCTTGTATTTCATTGACACTAAAATCATTTAGTACAATAAAGCCATATATTACAGCAATTAAACTAATGGTACTACTTTCTGCTTCCTGGGAAAGGGCTAGAACAGTTCTTCCCTTCATGAAATTTTGTGATATATAAATACAGAGATGCACTTCAAACAACTAGTGCATGAGAGCAACAGCGGCTTCTTGAACCAATGGTTGAGTTACATGCACAAAATGCTCGGCCTCCTGCTCCACTTGCTCCCAACATTTATGTACATCTTTTCCTTCCTTCATTTTCTTCACAAATGCCACAAACCTTCTCCAGTTATCAGGTTGGAACAAATGTGGGTTCATCCTCAAATAAGTGAATGCACACATTTCTCTATCACTTGAGTTTCCATCCACATCCAGGGCTGCTGATCGTAGAATCTGTTCGTGTGCATATTCATCATATCTTTGCAAGGCATTCTCTCCAGCAAGAGGTACTTGGGCCTCTTGAGTAGCCAAAGCCACCTGCCTAACCAACTTTTCTGGTGCACAGAGTGCATCTTGTGGTTGCTCATGGTCTCGCATCTCGATGCAGGTGAAATTGAATATTGCACCGTGGCGGGCAAGCATCTGGGCAATGGGAAGGTAGCCGTCACGAAATCGGGTGTTGTAATACCCAGCTGTAAGCTCAGGGGCATGGGATCTAGTCCCATAATGCCAGTGGATTCCGGCAATCTTCACTGATATTTTCACGCCTCTGTTCTCAAAGATAGCTTTGGCTGATTGAAGTATCCTCTCACCGTGATCTAGAAGCATTTTGGAATACCATGTGAGGAAGAATTCCCCGTATTCACTGGCCCAACCGCCACCCTCCTTACGGAAGAAGTTCGTGTCTTCCGGCCAGTTGTTGTAATGGCCAGCATCTGTCGGGCCAGTGCTTCCCCATTCAGGCTTTCCATATGCTTCTGCAGCAGCTTGTAAGCTACTGAGCATGTACTGCACGAAAAAACTAGATATTAACACGGTAACATAACCAACGATAATTAAAAAGGGGTTACTGTATTTAATAATATTCACCATCGCAAATGACGAGTCCAAAAAGGTGCACATAAAATCCAGACGCAAGAAAAGAAAGTAAATTACCTTGTCATAGCACTGAAAAGCTCCAATTCCAGGGAACTTCCAGGTCCCGTTCTGCTCCGGATATGAAGGATACCTCAGCTCCCCAGCAGGTCCCATTCCCACTTGAATTTCCTGATAGAAAACGAATACAAAGTCACACATCGATATATTATAAAAGAAAACAGGAATGATGTGGTGCTGTAGAATATGCTCTTACCACTATAGTATCACCGAGAAGGTGCTCAAAATTATCTCGGAAAGCCCGCATATAATCAGAATAACACTGAACAGGTGTTCTTCCTTTGAGTGCAGGCACGGTATCGCATCCAAGAGAAACATATTCATAGTTCCTCCTCCCCCACTGATCTGTGTATGCTAGGTCCGGATCCTTGTCCATCTCCTCTATAACCCACTTTGGAAGGGGAATTCTGGTGAAAGAAACGGAATGTCAGTCAATTTGCACTTAACCTAAATTTTACACTCTTCCAAGCAAAAGGGCCTTTGTTTCCACAATGCTTAATATTACAGAGCAGAACTTGCCATTAAAAAACAGGTTTGTACATGATGTTCATTATCGCACAAATGAGTTATTTACAGATCTGCTCCATAGACAGACAAATTAAGAAGCTAAATTAGAATTAATATGCCTTTCTTCATGTCTTAAACCGACTAACTTGCTCGATTTAAAACATACCAATCCACTCATAATCTAGATCTTTCTATCGAATTCAATAGCTAATAGCCTGATGAAAAGCTAAATCGAAATTTCAAACAAATTCAGACTAAAGAGACTTAACTAGCCTGAAACTCAGCAGTCAGAAGCCCCAAATTTATCAACCGCAATCAGATTACTAAATTAGAAATTATTAAAGAAACAACAAGAAAGCTACACATGTCTAAGTAGGAAGGTTACAGTTTTGTTGCGTGACTTCTCCAACTAATTCTTTACTTTACTTCCAATGCTAAAAGGCAAAAACGTGAACAGTACACAACTACGACTTTTTCCTAACCACAATTAAATAAATAAAATTCCAAAAAGTTCCAAACCCAGAGTTGAATATTCCTCAACCAGAATAAATCAATCCCCAGAATATTCAACAAAATCTCAACGAAAAAGAATGACTACAAATTTAAGGAAAAAGAAATTAAAAGAAAGGAGAAAAACTCACGTGCAAGAGTCACCAACGTTTCCTCCGCATTGATGGAAAGACATGACTGCCTGAACTTTCAGGCCGTGCTTTTTCGCCATTTCCAAAAGCTCGGTATATCCGCCCCAATTGTACTTCCCTGGTTCATCCCTCTCCACCAATCCCCACCACACATCCATCATTATCCCTTCCACGCCGGCACTCTTCAGAGCTTGTAAACTCGCGTTCATGGCTTTCCTTCTATTCACAGTATTATCCATCTTCACACTATCCAACGGCATCATTACAAACACCGGCACCCCTTTCCCCTTCTTCTCTAAGCTCTCCGGGAAACTGTGCAGATTCTCAACCTGGGTTTCCGTTTCCGTCGCGAAAGCTTGACACGCGACGGACAGATCCCCCCTTATGTTGCCGCCGATCACGGGGCTCAACGGCGGTGAAGACAGGGGAGATACTCTGTCATTATCCCCTGTGTTCTTCACTGATACACGGAGGTTTGTCAACGGGTTTTTCCACACCGCCGACGCGTTCACGGTGGTAGTCGAAGACGAAGTTGACTCCGATGTAAGGCTGCCGGGATCCGCCGCAATCGGTGTTCCGGCAATTGCTCTGATCTGATGCGGCAAACTCATTGCCATAATCATAAAATAACTAATCTTCTATAATAAAAAAAAAAATCAACAAGCAATAAATGGGATTTCACAAAATCCAATCTTATGTAATAATTTCAATGTATTTTATTTTCTCGAAAAAAATTTTCTCCTCTTTTCTCTGAAATCGATTAATTGAGCTAGTGAAGTGTGGAAATGAGAGAAGGAGAAGATCTATATATAGGCTTAGTGGGGTTGGGAAATGGGGATATCCTGTGTGAAATAAAAAAAGATAATCTAAAAAAGCAACCGTTATTTCTTCGCCACGTGGATTAAGGACACGTGTTTCTACGTGAGCGATTTCAGAGGCTACGGCTGAGATGACTCCCTGGATCACGTGAGAAGGACGGTGAGGATCAGGGTTTTGATTGGGGTATGGAGAAAGCGCGTGAATGTTCTGGCTGGATAAATTTTCCAAGGTTCAAACTAGAAATATACTATTAAATTTTAGGAATTTTTTAAATTTTGGATTAAATTAAGACAAAATTGAGAGTAGAATTTTGCTTATCCAGCTAGGATTAATGTCTCAACAGAAAACAGGATAAAATTAGGGTTCTGATAAAGGGAACAAATTTAGGTTATGCAAGTTGCATCTAAATATCAAATAACTAAAGGAAGATTTGATTTATTGGATTAATAAAGAAGCTATCAGGATAAGGATAAGAGAGTTGAGTAAGATAATCTAATTGGAAAAAATGTTATTACACGTGATTAAAGAAATGTTAGAATGATGGAAATGTGAAAAAAAATAAATTGAAAAGTAAATATACTAATGAAAATTTTTAGTAACCAAACATAGTATAAAGTCTTAGAATAGAGAATTAAGAGCCAGTAGGCTAGTAGCACATAGTTCACGTTGAATTTGTTTACTATGTAAGTATGGAGCATCAAACATCCTATAAAATGCAAGGATCAATTAAGGCTTAATTATTTAGTAATTCATTTCAAAACTATAACTTTTGAAGCAAATTGTAATGATGATATGATAAGCAATTAAGCATTCTGTTTGGAAGGTTTTTTTGATGGTCCTCAAATACACTCCATCGATCCTCAAATGATCATCGAGTTTAACTTTTTATTTTTAGCATAATTTGAATTAGAGTAAAAATTAAAACTGAATGATCATTCTGTGACGTGAAAAAATATAATAAAAATGGTTCTTAGTAATCTTTTGTTTCTTCAATTTAAATTGTATTTATTTTTTCATTGATATAACAAAAAAAAAAACCAAAATAATACTACTACTTTGTAGTAAATATTATAAAAAAAAATTTAAGGAAAGATCCAAGAAAGATGAATAGTCAAATGTGGACTTTGATAGTTTGGGAGAGGGGAGGCGACAACATGGGGAGCAGTGTCGTTTTGCTTCCTACGGTAATTCCAGTGTCCAACGAAGAAAGAGAAGCGTACCCAATCAGTTAACACGTGTCCCTGCCGGATATGCAAAATGTAAAAAGTATCATAACACGTAGAAACGGGTCACGATCTTGTGTGGACGAGATCCGGTGGGGATGCTTTCGGATCATTCGTTTGATACCACTTGAACTTGATTTGAAGCTATTATCGTGGGGCCCGGATCAATTTTTGGATGACTGGATGGATGAAGAAAGATGATGGATATTTTTTTTGTCCCATTTTTCCGGTGAGTTGGATTTGGGCCTTTAGGGTATGTGTCAATAACTCATCGAGGCATGTGAGGATTTGGGTACTTTACTAAGTATCTTGTGACACCTTTGTTGAGACCATATAATGGGTGTGTGGATAGGAGAGATGTTCAATGGTGGTTGTGTGGGTGTGCAAAGAACTCGCAAGATGATATAAAAATTTACTATATTTTCTACAGAGTAACGAGGTACTCCTTTCTGTCCCAAAATTATTGTTCAGTTTGAAATTTCATTTTTAGTACAATTTGAAATATAAATGAAAATTCAAATTGAACAATAGTTATGAGACGGAGGGAGTAAATGTTTTCATAAGACGACGACCATAGACATGATCGGATCAAATATTAGTTTTTTTGCTTGTACAATAAAGGAGGCCAAACCCTAGAATTATAAATTATCACAGCCCTCGTAAATAAAATAATTGTATATTTTCCTAGATTTAACCGTATTTAGCAGCTCCTTGATGCATCAGATGCTCTCCTTGACCGTGCTAAAATCTTCTGATTTCAATTTAAGTGTCCCCAACTTGTGTATTTCGGCAATATTAACTAAGCTGTTCGCTTTTATCAAAAAAAAAAAAGAAAGAAAGAAAAAAGACTAATCTACCACGTAATTATTGCAAGATTGGAGACCCGCCTAGCTCCTCTCTAACCATGAATGGGCTGCAGCCTGCATAGAATGATCAATATTGGTGGCAGTACTAATGGACTGAAAATTGTTTGACATTTCCCAGTTCTGTCATGCAAGCTTTCTTAAAAGGCCAGCCCACACTGGACTGAATTTCTACATCTTCTATGGGTTGGCTAATATAAACTAAGAAAGGAAGAATTTCTTAAGGTCCTCGTATCTGATGAGATATGTAGAAGGGTTGCTTAATTGTGTATTTTGAAGTAATTAAGGAGGTTTTGGTTCATATTTACGTAAACTATATAAGTAAAAATATTTTCACCACTAATTAATGGAATGATAAAGATAATTTATGCAAAATTAATGACGTTACGTCATTAATTTAACTTATAAACACTTGATCCAAGTAATAAAAGTATAAAACACGAGTAACGCGAAATTGAGTATCTTATATTGTTATCATGGTCTAAATCCTAACATAGTCCACTTTATAAGCTTATTTGAATCCAATCTGAATTAATTTAAAATAAAAATTTTAAACACCTACTCATAATGTACCAAGAAATACTACTATTTTTTCCTCATCAAATACATCCAGTAGTTTTTTTTTTTTTTTTTTTTTTTAAACTACTTGTACGTTCTAGGACTCTTTCAGCCAGTCTAGACCATCCTCGAACCATTAAGAGTTGTTATCCAAGAAGAAATATGAGGTTTGAACTTTGAAGTCTCGACAATTTTTCCATGATGTTGATAGTTGATAGATGGAAGGTACACATTACTCTCTTTCCCACCCAAAAAAAAAAAAAAAAAAAAAAATTGAAAGAAAGAAAGAAGAAAAAGGAAATTGCCAGAATATATTGCATATCGTGAAAATTGTGTTCAGGGACCAGAATAGATATGAAAATAATATTTTTGCATGTAATCCCCTTTACGAAATTAATCAGTATAATAATTTTACTTTAAAAAACTAGTACTAAAACTCAAAACAAATAGTAAGTGAACTCATTTGGATAGTTGACTAAATACCTTTTAATTATGTAACTAGTATTATATTGGTACATCACAAAAAGTATTAAGTAAGATATTGTAACAGCCCGCCTAACATGTATTATAGTGAAAAATTAGTGTGTGAAGGCATACAACAACTATTAAATCAAGTCATTATGAAAACAGAGCGAGAGAGACGAAACAGAGTTTCAATTAGAAAATGAAAAGTAGTGAAACAGTTAACTTCAATGGAATTGGTGTTTTAGATTGGATTTGGAGTGAATGTAATCCTTTCAGCTTGTTTCCATCAATTTTTGCTTCCCTAGCGTCAAATTAAGTGATAAAATAATTTGTACATAATGTTTGAATTTGAGACACGTTGGTTGATTAGCACTAACATAATTTTACCGCTTACCTTAAAATTACAAATGAAACATCATCTCTTTCCTCGTACCCTGAAAATAAACCATTCTCTATTTGATTTTATTTACACTTTCATATAGTTTTATTATTGGCTGCACTAGGTAAAGTGCACAAGTATAACATATTGCAATTACAGTATGCTTAAACTTTTAACCTTTTAGCAAACAGATAATTAGCCAATTACTATCACGTCAAGTGTCCAAATTATAATGATGATTTTAAATTTTTCAAATTTTGATGAATTTTTTATATCATGATTCGTTGTCACGAGAAAAATTACAATTATCAATTTTCTTATTTGATTAACAAAATGCTTATTAAGGACTATGAATAAAGTCGATGATCGGAACAAAAAAGTGTTATATAAAATTAATAAAATTATCCAAAAAAGATGAACTATAAAAATATTAATTATCAATGGTGTTAACAAATTTATAAAGCTCTTTTTGATCAAAGATCATCACCACAATAATCAAACAACAACACACCTTCTTAGCCTTTAGGTGCTGTCCACGTTCAAAATGGACGAAAACGACGTCATTTGAACCCCTTTTGCCAGATCAGCAAAGTACTATTACCTCACCTGAACTAAGGAAAAAAAAAAAAAACGTTCATAAAAGTTTTTCCCTTAGACGCTCCCATCCTTCCTCCTCCGGCGCCTCCTTCTTTCCTCCCGGACTCTTCCCGTTTTGCCCTTCACCTCAAATCCTCATCATCCAATCTCTTCCTCTTGAATTTCAGTCGAAATTCGAGGATATCTTCGTCAGTTCATCCCAATTCCAGCTCCTTGTATTGTATAATTATTGTGTGCTATAATATAATTCTGAAAATCCTCACCTGAGCATGCAAAAGGTTTTCCGGCGAGGATAGATTATGAGGTCATCGTCGTCGTCGGTATGGCCGGAAAATTCGAGCTCCTACCTCAATTCCTCTCCGTCGACGTCGCTTAATCCTCAATCGCCGCCGCCCTCCGGAGGTTGCTCATCGCATAATGTAAATCCCAAAAAATGGTAATGACTCGTACTCCTGGTTATCTTATCAAGTTTTGTTTTTTAACTCGTCATTGCGTTGTAGATCTGAGGTTATTGCATCTTTTGGTGCGTTCGCGTGGTTTTTAAAATTTTTCGTGTGATATTGATTCCGTTCCAATTTCGTATTTTTGTAATTCAGGTGATTGTTTTTATGATTGATCTGAGCTGTGGTATTGGAGAATTAGATACATATAGAAAGAATTGCCCACGCTTTGTTAAAGAACTTTTGTTTCAATTATTGAAATAACAAATCACTTACCCAAAGCTTACTTTTTGATTCTAAATGCTGATGAATTATGGTTTTTGTTTCCAAATTTTCATAACTCATGTTGTTTCACGTTAGTCAGGAAGATTAGGATTGATAAGGGAATTCTATGATTTTTTTTTTATTATTTATTTATTTATTTATTTATTTTTGTTGCTTGATAAGATCTATAATTTTTGGTGATTCCAGTTGTGCTGTGTAATTTGTGGTTGTTGATGCGATACCGGCTGTATGTTAATTTCGACTGAATGATTAGTTGATGTTATGCATGCTTTTATGGAATTAAAGTAGTGGCTTCTGAATTGATAATTCTCACAACTTTTGACCCTATAAGATTTTGATTTTACATGATATGCTCCGTGTTTAGTAAAGGGTGTAGTTATGTATTACAGTTGCATTATTTTGAAATTTGTTTTTCTGTGGCAAACTGAGCTGTGCTAGTTTGGTAAGGTCCAAGAGATCCCTTGTTAAAAGAGAGGGCAGGGTTCGTATTAGGAATGTTTGGGGTTTGGTAATGTTTGATATGGCAACCTCACCTTTGTTGGTAAGGGATGCACGTGTATATTTCAATGGATCTTATGAGTTTGGCATCTTATTAGGGTTTGCTATGATATTTCTTGGTGGTATGTTACCAAGTGATCCATAGAATTAATCTTAAATTGCTCATCTAGGTTTATTTGATTGGTTATGTTAGTGTATTTGGCTGATAAAGTGTAAACTCTGTATCAAGTAGGTATTGCGTTGGAGGACCTTCCCTTTTAATTATCATAAGATAAAGTGAGCATGTAAAGAGTTAGTAGGGATGAATTGCATCCCTTTTTGTTCTCTGCACCAACTTTTAATAAGCTTGCCACATGTTTCTTTATTGAGCTGGACTGGATGCATCACTAAACATTTCTGGTATGGGTTTATTTTGTGTCAGTTATGGTAATATTTATCGGTTACTAGCACGGAGGGAGGTAGCTCCACGAACAAAACATAATTCCAAACAGTCATGGGCCAAAGCTTCTGTGCATCATGTGGATTCTTGTGGAACAAGTTCTGATGCTGAAACAAATTCTGATGCAGGAATTGATGCAAGACGAGGTCTTATATCCTGGTAATAGTCGCAATAGTCATGCATTCTAGTACTTCTTGCTTTTTAAATTTATTTGAATGAACAGGTCACTTCAACATTAATTCATCAATAAGACTCTCCTGAATTGTGCGAATTAATTGTTTGGTTCATGGTCCCAGGGTGGAGGCTGAGTCATTGCAGCATCTGCTTGCTGACTATTGCCCTCTATTGCCTCCTCCGAGGTCAACGATTGCAGCAGCTTTCAGTCCTGATGGAAAAACACTTGCATCCACACAGTTAGTTCTCTCACTTGCTCACTAGTGCTTAAGATTGCTTTACCATCTGATGCGTGTTTCAGTGCTCATGATAAGATGGTCAAAAGAAATGACAGACACGAGTTTCTTTATTATTATCTTCACTATCATTTATGAAGCAACTAATGGGCATTTATTTAATGTATTGTGTGCTTTCCCCTTTTTTCCTCCTTGGCAGTGGAGATCACACTGTAAAGATAATTGATTGCCAGACTGGGAAATGCTTAAAGGTGTTGAGCGGTCATAGGAGGACGCCATGGGTGGTAAGGCTATCTTTTGGGACCTTTTATAGACAGAATTTAGCGAAATTCTTCTGGAGTGCACGCATTGGATTTTATAGCTTTATAGGTCAAAATATTTTCATCCACGAAATGCAAATTAAAGAAGATGAGATTGATTTTCTTTTCAGAAGTTTGACATATAGTCATGTTGTCTGAACTGTGTGGATGTAGAACAGTTATGCTATTTTAACACTGTTTCATCTTTTTAGGCGCCCCTGAAGAATTCTTAGTTGGTACTGATGGTTTTACAAAACTTTCACGCTTACATTTCCTGCATTAATCACATTTCACTGCATGCCGAAGTTTTCTACTCTGTTGATAATGGAGCATACAATTGTTGTGGAAGAACCTGGAACATCTAGCAGGACCTTATGTGGCATTTTAAGCTTCGAAGATATCTCTGATTTTCACTTCTAAGATCGATGATGTTAAATGATTTTGTTCAGCAAGCTTTTTTTTTTTTTTGAAACTGTTTCTGTATTTTTCTTCCCACTGTCTGACATGCAAGAGTACCCTTGCAGGTTAGATTCCACCCTCTGTATCCTGATCTTCTAGCAAGCGGGAGTTTGGACCATGAGGTTCGATTGTGGGATGCAAAAAGTGCTGAGTGTATTGGATCCCGTGATTTTTGTGAGTGCCCTTAAAATTTATGAAAAATATCTTTTCAAGTTTACATTGTGGTGGTTTCGTGATTTGATTTTCGAATCTGTTTCCTTGTAGACCGCCCTATAGCTTCCATCGCTTTCCATGCTCAGGGGGAGTTTCTTGCTGTTGCTTCAGGCCATAAGGTACCAATTCTGGACCAATTGTGCTTTGAGCTTTTTATGTGCATGATTGCAGCTTTTTATTTGCCTAATTGCATTGACCTCTTCAACCTATGGCAGCTACACATATGGCACTATAATAGTAGAGCAGAGTCATCAGGGCCAACAGTTGTACTTAAGACTCGCCGCTCTCTCAGGGCTGTGCATTTTCATCCTCATGCTGCTCCATTCCTTCTCACGGCTGAGGTATCATCTTAGTTTCTTTTTGTGTTCTTTTCTTTATCCTGAAATCATCATCATGATGGTTATTATTTTGTAGGTAAATGACATGGATACATCCGATTCATCCATGTCAATTGCAACTTCTCCAGGCTACTTGTGCTACCCTCCTCCCACTGTCTATTTAGCAGATGCTAATACTGGTTCTCGGTCAAATCTACCAAATGAGTTGCCCCTCTTATCTTTGCCATTCTTGATATGGCCTTTGATTGGTAGAAATGAAGGCAGAGTACCTTTTCTGCAAACAGATACAGATGGGGGTGTTGAAAGCGCACAGCAAAGAGTGGATACTTCTAACTCCGTGCGGCTTCTAACATACTCAACTCCAACTGGTCAATATGAAGTTTTGTTATCTCATATAGAACCAAATGGTTCTCCAGAGGAGCAACAACCCAACACTTCGGTGGCTGAGACAGATAATACTGTTTCTCAGCCTGTAGTAGATGCTATGGAGACTGATGCTCAGCCGGAGGAAAGAAATAATCACTTTTTCCCCTTCAGTGATCCAGCATACTGGGAACTTCCATTCCTGCAGGGTTGGTTGATTGGTCAAAGCCAAGCTGGCCTCCGTGCAATGCGTTCACAGAATGGTGGTTCTCATGATAGTATTCCCCCTTTCCAAAATCTTGAGCATCCTGCTCCATCAGGAGTGCCAAATTCTGCTCCATCGGGGTTACCTGTGGCAAATGATACTTTTCATTCAAGATTACCTGGAAGATCTGGCTTGCGGCATCGGTCCTCTCGTTCACATGCTATTGGATCTAGTGAAGGTCCTACTCTGAATGTTAGCGCACAGGAGGAGGGCAATCCGCCTCCCCTTGTGGGGCAGATCCAGCCTGAGGTGAGCACCTCACTGGCAGCTGCTGCAACATCTGAGTTACCATGCACTGTGAAGCTTAGAATATGGTCTCATGATGTTAAAGATCCTTGCGCCGCACTTGATACTGAACGATGTCGCTTAACCATACCTCATGCAGTTCTTTGCAGGTATATCTTGAAATTTTCTTTATACATGTGTTTCCCGTATTTTGGGTTGTATATTTTGTTACTAGAAAGTGTATATAGGTTCACTCTGTTTTTGTTTTCTTTTTGGAGGTTCTTACTTACTATTGTGTACATATTCTCTTCAGTGAAATGGGGGCCCATTTTTCACCCTGTGGGAGGTACTTAGCAGCCTGTGTTGCTTGTGTATTACCAAACATGGATGTCGATCCTGGTTTTCACGGGCAATTTCATCATGATGCCACTGAGATAGCAACTTCTCCAACCAGACATCCAATTTCAGCCCATAAAGTGATGTATGAGCTGCGAGTGTATTCACTTGAAACAGCAACGTAAGTTTTACATTTGACTACAAAAGCATTCGTATTTTCTCTGTTAGTATTAGCTTCTCTTAGCTTTCCGGCTTCTTTCTCTGTAGCTTTGGGGCTGTGCTGGCATCACGGGCTATTAGAGCTGCTCATTGTTTAACTTCAATTCAGGTCAGTTTCGCTTCTGAATTGGGTATGACATTACTATCAATTTGTCTTCCCATTCACACATCTGAGATGTTTTTACCCTTTTGATCTTAATTTTTGCTCTATTTTGTCGGAAATAACGGGTTTCTATATATCTTAAAAAACTCTCACTAGCTTTCATGTCAGAACCACAATAACCCCCTGCAGTCGGGTATGATGTCGCCATGTCTTTGCCTTAATATTTCACTCTCTAGGATGATTTTAGCTATTTTTAAAATAGCATATTGCTATTTAGTAAGAATGGAATTGGTTGCTAGGTTAGCTGAAAGCAGACAGCCCCCAAGAAGCTTGTTAAAGCAGATTAACGCACCCCCAACCCCCTCCCCCATTTGAACTCTTTGCCATTGGATAGTATGCGATTGGTCATTTTGTCCTCTCTGATCATCTGATTCAGTCTTTTGCGGACCTATGAGACATTCTTTTTAGTTTTTATGGTTGGTATGAGGCCTGCAGTCACTACACATGTTGCTGTTACAGGTACTTTTCACGTGCAATGCTCCTAGTTGAGGGGTGTTAGATGTTATGACACCAATTTACATCGGTAACTTAAGAGATCAGTGATGATTGGAGAGTTTAGTTAGCATGGTCGTTTTTACTTTGTTTATCATTCATTTTTATGGCTTACATTTTGCTCAATATATTTTTCCTGATAAAATTAATAGTAAATGCTTCTACGTTGGTTTAGTTTTAAAAATGGAGCGGCAGTTTGAATCATATTGAATCTGTTGCCGTTTGAATCATATTGAATCTGTTGTGATTTGATTTTTTCCCTTTGCAGTTTTCTCCAACATCTGAGCATCTTTTACTTGCATATGGTCGTCGCCACAGTTCACTTCTTAAGAGCGTTGTAATTGATGGAGAACTGACTGTACCAATTTATACTATTCTAGAGGTATTTTCTATTGATGGGCATGAATAAATTTTGGACCTTTTAGCTTCTTCATTTACTTTAATATTGGTGGATGGCTTTTTGTTACCTATTTACTTCTCGTATCAAAATAGTTGTGTGTGTTTTGATACCCATCATTCCTTGTTCAGAGGTTCATTATCTTGTATCTGTAGTTACCGTGATTGATCATACAAGAAAATTGAAATCTTTACACGGATACTGTTCATTTTTTGATGACTTACCTTATGGTGGCCAATGAGTTCTAAGCATTATCTGAAATGAACCTTGGTAGCTTTTCCTATATGCTGGAGCTTGTACATATCTGTACTACGAGCGATGTTATTAATGTGATAGAATTTTTTTTTCCCTGTTCTTGTTTGTAATGATTTATAGAGGGAGTGTTGCTTTTGTTTTAATCATAACCAACTTGTTTATGATTTTTTGAGCAAACAATGTATTTAGTGGCATGAAGACATCCAGAAGCTCATTGATTTTATCGTTGCTGGTCCTCATGAAACTTAATGGATCTTATTTGTTTACCAGATATACAGGGTTTCTGACATGGAACTTGTTAGAGTTCTTCCCAGTGCTGAGGATGAAGTCAATGTGGCTTGTTTTCATCCTTCAGTTGGTTGTGGTCTTGTCTATGGAACAAAGGTAAATTCCTACAGTCTTGTTACAGAGTTCTTGGATTTGTGGACATCATTTCAGCTGAATTCTGTTTTTTCTTTTGGTCTTCTTTTTATCTCAGGAAGGAAAGCTAAGGATTCTTCAGTATGATAAAGCTCGTGTGAATCATTCTCCATCTTTTCAGGAGAACATGTTAGAGGTATAAACTAAGAGATGAATTTTTTCTTTTGGACGTGTCTATTTCTCTCATGTCTTTGTATGCTGTCTTGGGTGGGCATCAAATTCAAATATCAAGGTAGTTGTCTCCTTGTATATAAGAGTTATAAATTTTAGCACAGTGCAAATATCTGTATCCTGAAGAAACCCATTCCACAAAACTTGTTTTGCATTTTTCTCTCATTGATAACTTATCTCAGAAACACTTTGAAACAGTTGCATCCTTTGTTCATTACGTACAAAGGTACCCTATGCTTTCCTCTTTCGAGGTGTTAAGTGATTGATTTTGAATTTCAGTGCGGCTTTGCATGAGAGTTCTTATTTTGCTGAGTATTGCACCTTTTCTCAGTTGTATATACTTTGCGTAGTCAATATTATCTAGCTACCTGGTTAATGATCATTGTGATTTTCTGTTTCTTGTTTTGAAAGGATTGTAAGTAGTGCTATTCCATATCTTTTGCAGGTCCCAACATACGCTTTAGAGGGCTAATATTGTCAATCACACCTACATATTAGAGGTATATTTATTACTTTAGTTTTGTATGTTATTTAATTTGTATTCCATTTTAGTACGATTCCATAAGCATGATGATGTGCATTCTACAAGTCGGCTCTTCTTTTAGAATACGTTAACAAAATGTTGATTGCATTCATGGGGGTTTCCAACCTTATTGGTTGACATTGTAATATGATGTGTAGTTTTAGGAATATACTTTCGATACTATCTAAGGTGTGTTACTTGGGTCTGCCTTTCCACTTTCCTGATTGTTGTTTTCTAGGGTTTCTTTTTCCATCTCTGTTCTTTTGCTGTATGTTGAGCTGATATGGATTCTTACAGGGCTGTGATGTTGATATTCGGAGTTGGAGTTCGTCTTAAGATGGCAACTTGCCCGGTGGATGGAAATGTTGTGTTCAGCGCAAGAATATTGCATATGGTGTTTGATTGAAGGCACCTTTACTTTTAGTTTTAGGAATGCAAAAGAAAGTTTGTATAATCTTTTGTTGTATACATTTCTGTGGCAAAGAATCAGAGCCATTAGGAAGGAAGCCAAAACCCCAAAAATAGGGAGGAGGGCGAATCTCGACTAGGTTGTCGGCGTTTGGTGGGGTTTGGGTCGGGGGTGTTGTTGGAGAGATGTGCTTTCATGGTGGATACAAGAGAGTAAGAGGGCCGAGGAGGACAAATTTTTGTACAAAATGCTGTGTTTGTATTCTTAGTTCCCCTTCTCTTTCTACAGTTTTTGAGTTCACGTCCGAAACTTTTGTTTTTTCCCCCTTGACCCGCGCTTTTACAATTCTGCATTGCCTATTTAAAAAATGTCTACTTTCGAAGTAAACCGTTTGGAGCGCTTTTTGGTATGTGTTTCTCGAACATGTACAACTCAGAATTCCGGATACCAGAAAAGAAAAAGAAAAAGAAAAACTATGAGAAAGTTGTGAAAATTTTGAAAAAAGCTCCCTTTCTTTGTAAACAAATTAAAGGACGTTCTGTCGTGGTGAGTCAGAAATTTCCTTAAACATAAATGATTAGTTCTACATAATCATTGCAAATTATGATTAGTTTTTGATTAGTTCTATGTTTAGACTAGTATGTATTTTTATCGAATTTTTTTTAAAAAATATATTTTTACATTTGTTATGTTCTTTTAATTATTAAAAAATATTTTGAAGGTTTTTTCTTCTAATAAAATGCCTAGTAGGTGAATGTACTACAAATTATAAGGTATCTTGATATAAGGGACCTACCCGAAAGGGTATGGGCGTACAATAATGATTAAAATACTTGTTGGGAAAGCTTTGCTTTTCGAAAGGGACTTACCCGTCTCGAATCTGGATTAGTCGGAGTAATGACTTTAGACACCGAGTGCGTAATATATCTAAAAAAAGAAAAAAAAAACTTTATATTAAGGTCCGGAGGGAAGACTATTTAGTTTAAATTCAGCACTCATATAACCTTTAAAACTCATCTTGATGAATAACTTAAATTCATACAGTTTTAAGTTTTATATTTTGTGAATTAAACATTGTTCAAATATTGTTCAAACTTTGCAAACACAAAAGTTCCTTTAATTCATGGCATAATGTGTGATTAAAACCCATAAGTTAGATAACGGGCCTTGCTAGTTACTATGACTACGAACCTACACTTTCATTTACATTAGAAAATATAAGTATCAACTCGTAATAATAATAATTAATTAAATGCACACACAGCAAAACCCTTATATAATTAAAAATATTCACTTTTGCTTTTTTTTTTTTTTTTTCGGAATACAATAATAAAATAATTTGTGATTTATCTAATTGGGCCTCAAACTTGATACCCAAACCAAGCGACAAAACAAAACCACAATCTTTCAAGACCATCAAAAGCCCAAACAACCTCTCAGCCTACCCTTAAACCACACAATATAAATACCTGTAAGTCTGCATTTCGTCAAAAACCCTACCATAAGTTTTCCCCCTTTATCCCTTCCGTTTGGCCGCAGCCGGAACGAACCATGCAGATCTTCGTGAAAACCCTAACCGGGAAGACGATCACCCTCGAGGTGGAGTCTTCCGACACCATCGACAACGTCAAGGCCAAGATCCAGGACAAGGAAGGCATCCCGCCGGACCAGCAGAGGCTCATTTTCGCCGGAAAGCAGCTCGAGGACGGCCGGACCCTAGCCGACTACAACATCCAGAAGGAGTCCACCCTCCACCTTGTCCTCCGCCTCCGCGGTGGCGCGAAGAAGCGCAAGAAGAAGACCTACACCAAGCCGAAGAAGATTAAGCACAAGCACAAGAAGGTTAAGCTCGCCGTGTTGCAGTTCTACAAGGTGGATGATTCTGGAAAGGTCCAGAGGTTGAGGAAGGAGTGCCCGAATAGTGAGTGTGGGGCCGGGACTTTCATGGCGAACCACTTTGACAGGCACTACTGTGGCAAGTGTGGGCTCACCTATGTTTACCAGAAGGCCGGCGGCGATTGATTTTGGTTAAATTTAATTTTAATCAATTTATGTTGGTCGAGGATGTTTTTTATTTTGTTATTTAAGTCGTACTCTTTTACTTTTTATTAATGTTGGAGACTTGAAATGAGTTTAGCAGCTATGTTGAATTCATTGGGAGTATTTGCGGATTTTTGTTACATAACATAGGGATCAAATATTTTGGGAATTTTGTGCTCTGGTTTTTCCCCCTTTTTTTGCTTGGCAAATTTCTTGGTTCATTCTGTTCTTTTGCTGCTTCTGGGTGATTGTTATATGGTTATGATGAAAATTTCAGTGAATTATAGTGGTGTTGACTCACTAGTTTTCATTTGTGTCCTGGTTCTGTTGTGAATGTTAATAGTTGTGGGAATATTCACCACCTTAAGACGTGATGGGATAACCGATAATGCTGATTGTGGCTTCCATTTAGTTGTTAATGGGTTCCTGTTTTACATTGATATGGGGGCACTCATATCAATGATGGTACTGATTATCATTTTGTTTGTTGATATGGGGGCACTCATTGATCTGGTGGTACTGATTATCATTTTGTTTGTCATGTTCCTGATGTTTGATTGAATTTGAAACTATTTACCTTGAATATATTGTCTGAATCGCTCTGCTTTGCTTGGTGCTCTATATTTGATTGTGATGGCTTTGTTTTCAAGTTTATAACATATTATGGCTTTGCCATTTTGGGATGGCATGGTTCTATTGGGTAGGGGCATCCTTGTTGTTTCTTTCCTGATTCAGTTAAGGTTTGTATGTGCATAATACTCCACCAGTTGCTTTTTGAGGTTTTGAGATAATGTTGCTTTTTTCGCCTCTTTTTTTCTGCAATGAAGGATCAAAGAGAAAATTAGGGCTTCAATGCTTGGTTGAGGTTGTGCTTTGTTGGACGTGTAAGGACAGGATTTCTGTTTTTCCTTTTGAAAATTTGAGAGTTATAATGTGAAAAGATGCATCTTACAAATGCCATCTTCTAGTTGGATTTGATTGAAGTGCATTATTGATTATTTTAATATCACCTACTGTGTTTTTTCAATGCTTGGTGTTCCTGGAGGATTCAGAGCTTGATAGTCTGATATCGTTGAATTGTGAATGATAGTCTGATATTCATAGAACTGTGGATGAGATGCGTAGATCTTTCATTTCTTGCTTTGATGTAATGTTGAAAGTCGTTTTTGGTGCTGGACTAGAACATGTTTACCTCCTTGACTGATAGTTTTGTTCCCTGAATGTTTGGGATTTGGATCCTATCTTCTACCGAAGTTTAATCGCTTAGCTAACTGATATCATTGCATTGTGAAATTTGGATTGCATGCATCCGTGATATGTCAGATCAGACTGTTTATTGTAATTGTTTCGTTGTCCTGAATTTGTGGTTGCTAAAGACCTTTCATTAAAAAGGTAGGAGTTGGCCCTGAATGTTTGTGTTCCACTCCAGTACTGCTAGCTGTTCATTCTTGATTCATTTCTTTGCCTGGGTGCTCATGCAACTAAAGCTGTAGCCGAACTAACTTGATGTAGTTTGGTTTCGAACGTGATTATTTATTTATTTGTCTTTTTTACTTTTGATGAGCCCCAATTAGCATCATTGTTCCTAAGACTCGTCCGGGACATTGAATAATCGATTTCGATTGCTCGTTTACTTAAAACAGGGCTGGGTGGTGATGTCATCTATTGAAGTTCTGAGTATTGCAACAAAACTTTGAAATGCCAACAAAATAAGAGGGACACACAAAATATTTGGAGTCATATATTCTAGTGGTCTAATGAGAATTTAATCGTTGTAAGCCAGCATCAAATCCTCGTCTCCATGTTCTTGTTAAAGTGAAAAGATTCAAAACTGTTAATTGTTAAATGTTGGCTCAACCAAAATTACAATGAATCAAAATTACAATTTAATTTTTTTTATTTCCTGGTGGCATTCGTTGTAGAAACATTTAATCACACTAGTTTATTTGAATGAAAAATTTACAAGAAGTCACTAGTGATGGTTTAGTTTGGCGTGGAGTTGGTAAATTTTCAATAAAAAATTCCAACACGAAGTCAAAACTATTAACTACTGTTTTTTTTTTTTTTGTGAATACTCAACTCAACACAAAGTGCAACTTCTGCACTAAATAAAGTTGTTTGCCAAGAGTAAATGGAAAGCGGAAACCATTAATATCTTCGCGTATAATGTCAAAACAGTATAGAGTCTGTAATGCGAAAAGGGTCACTGATTCATCAAAGGCATGCAGCCTTTCCATTAAACGCGACCGACAAGGTGAAGATCTTGTACTTGTTTTTGTACAAATGTCTAATTTTTGCCCACAAGGAAATTACTAGTCCAGATTACGCAGTTACTAACAAGATACTCCTATATAAAATGATGGACTCAACTGCATAAATAAACAAAAAGTTTTTCTTATTTGTCTTTGCAAAATGTCTTCACTAACTGCATTGGCAGTTGCTCAAATTCTTATGTTTTTCTTTCGAATTGTAAGTCCATATGACTATGGCCGTGCTCTTACCAAATCCTTGTTATACTTTGAAGCTCAAAGATCCGGGATGCTGCCTGATGATCAGCGAGTGGCCTGGCGAGGGCACTCGGCCTTAACAGATGGACAATCTGAAGGAGTAATATGAGTTTTTCTTTCATTTTCATTTTTAAGTTTATGTTCTGATGTTATTTATGTTTTCAGGCATGCACAAATGATCGGTATTCGTGTGTTTTTTTTTTTTTTTTGGTTTCGCAGGTTGATTTGGTGGGTGGATACTATGATGCAGGGGACCATGTAAAATTTGGATTTCCAATGGCATACACTGTGACCATGCTTGCTTGGAGTGTTGTTGAGTTTGGTCAAGAACTCCAAGAAAATGATGAACTTGAAAATGCTTTAGCAGCTATCAAGTGGGGAACTGATTACTTTATCAAAGCACATTATAAGCCTAATGGTCTTTATGGTGAAGTCGGAGATGGTTATAGCGATCACGAATGCTGGCAAAGGGCGGAAGAAATGTCAACCCCTAGAGATGCTTATCAAATAGACGAAAACAATCCTGGATCTGACCTTGTAGGCGAAACAGCAGCCGCTCTTGCAGCTGCATCAATGGCATTTAACGAATCAGATCCAGAATACGCAGAACAACTTCTAAATCACTCGGAAATGGCAAGAATTTTTAGTCCAATTGACAAAATATATCAGCTGCATTTGGTGAATCTATTGCAGATGTTGAACCGTTTTGTCCTTTTTCCATGTGCAGTTGTTTGAGTTTGCTGACAAGTATCGCGGCACGTACCAAACTAGCATCCCGAAGGCCGGGGGATTCTATTCCAGCACCGGATATGAGGTTTAGTTGCTTTCATTGATTTTATGTGCCTGATGCAGCTTGAATGAGATTCAGATTTCGCAATGGCCAAAAACCTGTTGTGCATATCTTGCAGGATGAATTACTGTGGGCTGCGACCTGGATATATAGAGTCACCAAAGATAAATATTACCTAGACTACATCAATCAGTTAAATCCAGGAGATGTAAGAGGCTCGTTTTCATGGGATGACAAATATGTTGGTGCCCAAGTTCTTATTGCACAGGTAATTTGTGAAAATTTTCAGTATAATGCTGTTATGATCAACTCTGAAGGATTCTAGCTAAGACAAACTTGCATTCAATTTGCAGTACCTTCCCGAGGAAGAATTATCAGGACTTAAAAGTCTCAGCCAATACAAACATTTTGCTGAGGGCTACATCTGCAACTGCATCCAGAGAGGCGAAAACAATGCCACAATGACACCAGGAGGGCTTCTATGGTACCATGAATCCAATAATCTTCAATACACAACTAGTGCATCATTCATCATAACAGCATACGCAAAAGCACTCTTAAACGCCACGAGTACAATTGAGTGTCGAGGTGTTGAGGTAACGCCAGAAGAGCTCGTCGACTTTGTCAAGTCACAGGTATAGATGATAAATAAGTAGGACTATTCTTATGAACCAAAGCGATTGAAAAATTGTTTTAAACTTCATTTTCATTTCCACAGGTTGATTACATTCTAGGATCGAACCCATTGAATGTGAGCTATTTCGTGGGGTTTGGATCAAACTATCCCAAGAAGATTCATCACAGAGGTGCCTCAATAATCTCAATAAAGAAGAACAGCACAGAAGTAAGTTGTAAAGATGGTTTTACCAAATGGAGAGACAGAGATGCACCAAATCCAAATGTACTAGTTGGTGCCATTGTTGGAGGGCCGAATCCAGATGACTCCTTCAGCGACTCGAGAGATGACTACAATCACAATGAGGCTGCCACCACCAACACTGCCCCTCTTGTTGGTGTTCTAGCATTTCTTGCCTCCTGAAACTTAACCATTCACTTTCTCAGGGATTGTAATTGCTGACAGAGGCATAAACTGTATACTTAAACTTTGAGTTGGTTTTAAACATAATTCGAGCAAATCCCTCTAATAGTTTACTCGATGAAACATTATAATGTGCTTATCATAAGTAAGGAATGAATGAAGGTAAACTCAAGAGTGAAAAAGCATGATGAAATGAGAGTGTTAAAGCTACAATAGATACAACTTATTATAGTAAAAAGGTACAACTACTAGTTAGGAATAACCCAAATAGGTACTGTTCCATCAAACTCTAAACAACTACAATCATAAACTTCACCGATACTCTCATCTTCCAAATTAAACACACCAATATCACGTCCATAGATTCCACATTCAGATAGTCTCCCCTGAGATTCATCTGAAAAGTAAATCGAATTCGGCTCGAATCCCTGACAATGCTTAGATGGAAGTGAAGTTCCATTATTACCACCCAAAAAAATCACTTGATCCTTCAATGATTTCACCCTCACCAACTTCTCTTCAGCCCTATCCAATCTAAAAACTCGAAACTTGATTGTTTTGTAGCCCCAATTGATTTCGCCTTCTTCGTTTAGAAGCTCGTCAATGCATCTCTCTATATATAAGATTTCCTCCTTCGATGGCACTAAATACAACTTAGGGCCATAATCCGCGGAGAGCGACAAATCTGTGTCCCAATTCAATTTTATGCTCATCTTTCTTGAGGGATAATGAGAATTCTTTGAGAATTCCCATCCCTCGATTGTATATCCATTGTCTGCCACAGCATACAATATTCCATCATAACAACTAATGTCCATATAGTAATCCGCATCACCAAACACAGTCCATATCGCATCGCTTTTTCCTCGAGACGCGAGTTTACTGCACCAATGAGGTATGATAACAACCCTGTAAGTTTCATTACTAGTGCCAGAAGGATTTGCAGTTAAAACTGCTTTATATATCAGGTTCACCTTCAGGTTCATCGTATTCCTGGAATCCGCGAGCCCTTGAATCTCGCTTTTCTCAGATATGTAAATGCTTTCCCTAGAGAAGAAATTGTACAGCAAAAGATCTAGTGATTTATCTAACGCTATGATCCATCCGTGAGAAGAACCCACAAAATGAAGCTCTTCATGAAGATCCCATTTGAGATCATACATTGTCTTGTCCCTCACACTGAATGCTCCAAGTTGGATTGGTTTTCCGTCTGTTAAAGGAGCCAGCAAAAGAGGTCCGGATCTTCCTGCAGCATCACGCCAAGAAGAACAAACCAACTTGAAACGTAGGACGTCTGGATATGAAAGCTTAGCCGCAATGTGCTCAAGCAGATCAGGATCAAGTTCAGACCAACTTGGTAGTTGCGACAACATTATTCTTTTAAACTGTATATATTGTTTCAAAAACCTCTGAGCCTATGATGTTTTTATTTTACTGTTCAAACAAATTTCTTGTATCTTCTTTACTGTTTTATGAAGATCTCTGAATAGTACGAAACAGAACGACAGGGATAAAGCATAACTTGTTTCTGCATTTATATTAGATTCGTTTTCTAACCATAAGAAGATTCGGGTATAGCTATTTATGGATTTACCTTCCCTAAACATAGAAGGATTCAGACTTTCACCTTTCATGAAACTAGAAGGATTAGGCTTTCCAAACACCGATGGAACAGTAACCTGAATAGCTCTTTCCATTGGCATGAATATGATCACCTAAACATAGAAGGATTCAGACTTTTAAGATTAGGCTTTCCAAACACCGATGGAACAGTAACCCGAATGGCTCTTTCCATTGGCATGAATTTGTTCACGATGGATGGTTGTTGCTCAGATATACCCATAAATTGGACACCCGCTCAGAAAAACTGGGGTAAGCTTGCTGTGTATTTTCCTCCACTGGCATCAAACACCTCTGGATAAATTAAAATAACACCATATCTAATACAAAAAGGCGGGATTCATCATGTTGCCCAAAGAGCGGTGTACGACTAGCGGGATTGTCTTGGCTAGATTCAAGGGGGATTGTCTGAGTCTCTTCAAATGCATATTTAAATAGATGGGAAAGTTATACAAAGCGGACTATGTAGCTTGAAATTCGTAATGTGAGAGATATCCTTCATTTGCTCTCTGAAGAAGATACAATATGATCTTTGCATTGTCAAGAATTAAGTTTACCAAATTCACTCCCCCAACCCACTGCAACTTACATAACAGAAAGCAAATCATAGTTGCAGCACTCCAGACTCAATTTCACAAAATCATAACCGGCTCGCAAACATAGGTACATCCAAAAAAGCAATCAAGGGAACTCGAGCAACTTCAGTGCAGAGAGGAAAGGGATATAATGTAGCTTTAACCAATACACGGATTGAGTATTGTACTCTATATCACTGACCACATTCCTGCCTACGAACAAACATTTTGATAAAACTGAGTTCCAAACAAGAAATCAACAAATAGTCGGATCCCACAATCGTAAAAAAGATCATTCAAGTAAAGAGTTATGATTGCACAATCTTCGAGCCCATGGACCACATTCGGTTGTTTAAATATTTACATCCCCTACAAGCCCCAAAACCAAGGACAGAAGAAGAGGCGTGTGTTATAATATGGCAAACCGTCCTTGACCCTCATGGCTACACAATTTCGAGCTAGAATCGAAAACCAAAACTGCAACCAGTCATTCCGGCCACTGACCAATGCTGGGATAAGAGAATCCTAGAAAAAGAGCTAAATAAGGGCATTCTACGTACAGCATCATACTCCTGCAAGAACATTAAAGACAATCAAGTTCGAAGATATGTTTAAATCTAAAATAATGCTAACTCATGTCAACATTCATCATGGAAAAGTAATCACAGGACCTGAAAATTTCATAACTTGGTTCAACACAAAAAGGTACATAGAAGAAAGGATGAGTATATATTGGCCACATTCCTGCATATTTACAGACAAGTATTACGATATAATCAAATTCCAGGAGAAAAGATGAACAAATAACAATATTTCACAATCTGAAACAGAAACAGAGCTACCTAACCAATTGAAAAATTGGTAAATCTTTAAGCGATTGAAAACAATCTAGATGGTTTGAATCCTGAGATGCCTACTAGCTCCCTAACCAAACAAAAGAGAAGATGACTCCACTAGGGCTATAGCAACCCCCCATGCCCCTATACTCTACACAATTGTGAGCTAGTCTCTGAAACCAAAGCTGCAATGACTCTAGTCTCTAGTAAGGCCATGACTGAGGCTGCGATACCAGACTCCAAGAAACAGAGCTAAATTATGGGCATTCTACATCCGACCATAATAGGAATGTCAAACACAACCCCAAAGATAGAGAAACCACCATCAAAGTCCATCCCCTCTACACGGTTGAGATTAAAACAAATCTTAGCAAACAACTCCCAATAGAGGAGGCCCGGCATATCTCCGGATTTGTTATGATATTAAAAATTAAATCACAGAAGCTGCAATTCATATGTCAGTTGCCCGTTACTTAAAAAGAAGCCCAATCTAGTGTAACCCTAAGGTAGTTACTAAATAAAATCTCTAAAAATCATCATCCTTAGTAAGCAAACTAAATACACACCGACTGATTCATTTTTTCAAGAACTGGAGTACTAGGCGATCATGAAGTAATGGCGGCAGAGAATCGAAAAGCTCAAACAAGCAAAAAAGAGGACCATATCAATATTCACAAAAACACTAAATTTAAAAGATAATCAGAATCCAATTCATTTCAGAAGCAAACTATTCATACGACCATTCCTCCAGACTAAAACTTAAAATTACAAAATTCAAGTAGGGATTACATGGCTTGAAACCTAGGAACAAGAAGGGCACCAAACAGTAAAGCGACTAATTGATGTCGGAGTCATCGAAGTCATCCTGGAAAGAGTTGAAGAAATCGGCGTCGGCCAGGCGGTGGTGTTCAAGTGCCGCGAGCGGGCCTTCTCCACCGAAGAAATCGAGTGAATCGGCATCGTCCAAGTCCATCGCCACCGCAGAATGCTCGTCCAAATCTGCAAAGAAATCCATCGGCGGCTTCATCTTTCCCCCGGATTTTCTCTTCGCTTATCTTCTTCTGAATACAAATTTCTTGTTCAGTGCTCGAGGAAAGAACGTGGGAAATTGCGTTCAAAAAAAGGTAGAATTTGGGGAATTAGGTTTTTACAGAAATAATAGGAATTAGGACAAGGAAAATTCCAGAAAAGAAAATTTCGTAGGAGATCTCATAGTTCCAGACATTTCAAGTATAGCCTCAATTGTTTTATCGAGTAAAATATGGATCCAACAAAAATGTAATGGGAGAATAGTCACCAGTTTTGAGGAAGAATACTGTTTGCGAATTGAAACAACCGGTATTTTTCAAAAAACCAGTATTAGTCATTCTAATATAGAAAATTACGACTACAAAATAACTGTATTCTCCGTCCCAAAGTGATGGTCGAAATGAATGGAACAGAGAGAGTGTAATCCCTTTTACCCTATTAAAGCAGAAAACAGGATGCTGATGTGGCAATTTTTTATTAAAATGTTTTGGCTCCAAATGCACCATATTGCATAAATCATTCTGCCACGTGTCACATCCTTTTAAAAATAAAAAATATATTTACAATATTAACGAAGAGATCAGATGGCCATGTTCATTCAAATTTTGAATTTGACAGTGTATGGAATTTTCCTTCTCCATTTATTTAGGACTTTTGAAAAAATTAATTTTCGATCAATCAATTATTTTCATCAAAAACTAAATTCATTCCTAATCAATTTTAATTATTTACATATCAATTTATTAGGTGGGACGCCCCCGGGCATTTGTCCGGGACAAGCATCTAGTTTTATTTATTTTTATAATAGTATTGTTTAAAGGAGTAACAACTCACACATGTATGCATATCACTGCATTAATTTACTAGTACTTACACAAATATATTAATTAGCAAAAAATAAAAAGTTATTTATCCGTTCTAGTGATTCTGTAAAAAATTTTAAAATTTAGTCTTTTTTATTTTGTGATAAAATTGTAAAATCTAGTTTTTTTTTTCAAATTCATTTCGAAAAAAAATTTAACTAAACACAGTAAGTTGACACCTCAGACAATAATTTCAAAATAATATTAAAGTTGAATTAGGATTCTCAACTTATACAATTATCGTAACTAAACAAAATTCAAACCATCATGTGTTATAAACAACGACTAATAAATTGTAAAAATTCAGTGAAAAAAATAACACTTATAATTAACCATCTAAAAAATATGTCAATTAAAACTCATCACAACAATTCCATACAACCATAGGACCCGCACCGCCATTGGTAAAATATCAGTATAACCACCATTACCCATTTTAGAAAATAAAAAAATCTTATATATAACTAATCTTATTTTCTGCTTCACATTGAGAATCTATTAGTTGAGATTTTATTTTAATCTTAAGTAAAATTATAAAGTTATTAATACGGAAACATGATAATTAAATTTTTACAAGACATTTTGACTGAACTTCTAATTGCGCGCCACATATGTAAAATAATTTTATATTAATATACATAGATTCTCTATCAGTGCTATTATGTGAAGGCGAAAATATTCACATGTTTATAATGATCAAATTATTTTTTATTTTTATTTTTTGGTGCAAGGCTAATACCTAATTAGCACATTTCTGAGAGAGTATAGAGGCAAATGGTAAGAAATTATTTTACAAGTTCAACTTAATAAGTATTTTTTCAATTCAAATACAAAATCAGAGTTATCAGAAAATTGAAGGGACTTTAAGCAAATCATGCCAATCCAAAGCTTGTATATAGATTCCAACAAAATACTTGATAAAAATTTTCTTGATGAAGTAAAAACCTATCAAGAATACAAATAACACTACTACTAATTAGAAAGAACCCAAAAAGGTATAGGTTCAAACCGGGAATCACACTCATAAACCTCACTAATCCTCTCATCTTCCAAACTAAATACACCAATATCATGGCCTCCATAATAGTAATCTTTATATATCCTATCCCAATAATCATCCGTGAAGTAGATTGAATTCGGCTTGAACCCTTGATAATCCTTAAATGGAAGTGAAATCCCATGATTTCCACCCACAAAAACCAATTGATTCTTCAAGGATGTCTCCCTAACCAACTTCTCTTTAATCCTATCTAATTTATACACTTCAAACTTGATTGTTCTGTAACAGCAAATTTGATCACCATCATCAGGTAGTTCTGCCTCACAGAGTAGCTCGCATTTTTCATTAACAAATTCCCCAATGTACCTCACGATGAACAAAATTTCCCCATTTGATGGCACCAAATACCATTGACTAGTGCAACGATCACTGGAGAGGTTCATATTCGCATTGAAAGAGGGTTTTATGCAAAGCTTTTTAATCGGATCAGATGAAGTTTCTGAAAACTGCCATCCTTCAATTGTGGCTTTCTCTCTCAAAGAATACAACATCTCGCCAGAATACATGATATCATAATAATCTTTCGAATCACCAAACCCGGTCCAGGTGCCGTCGCCTTTGCTGCAAAATGCTAATTTCTTGCTAAAATCATGTATAATAACGACTACGTAATTCTCAGTAGTGCAGGAAGGATTTGCAGTTAAAATTGCTTTATGTATGAAGAACCTCTGCTTTGTAACAGGTGAATAAGACTGCATCAGGGATTTTGGCAGTCCCTGAATTTTGCTTTTCCCTGGAAGATCAATCCGATCCCTGGAAAACAGATTCCACAAAAAGGGCTCTCCCATTTTGTCTACCACTATCATCCATCCATGAGAGGATCCCACAAAATGAATCTCTTCAGGAGAGTTTAAAATGTCCTCAGATTTATTAACAATCAGTTTGAGGTCATGTGTTGTCTTGTCTTTGACACTGAATACGCCAAGCCGAATTGTTTCTTGGTCTTCTTGAGTGGATGGAACAAGAAGAAGTGGTCCTGATTTGATGTATTCGGCAGCATTACGCCAAGAAGAACAAGTCGACTTGAAACGTTGAATGTCAGGGCAAGAGAGCTTAGAAGCAATGGATTCCAGGAGTTCTGGCTTAAGCTCAGACCAGTTTGGTCCTCCTCTTGATCTTTTATTTTGGTTGAACGACATTATTTTGGTGTTTCTTTCTACTTCTTTAATTTGAGAAAATCGAACAAAGGGAATCTGAGCGAATTGTAATGAGCGCAAAATCGTGAGCGTTGCAGTATTTATCTATAGTTTTCCAATCCTAATCACAGAAGGATTTGGACATCCATCCAGTTTCCTAATCCCTTTTCGGTTTGGCTTTTGCAATTCCGCAGGTTTTGATCAGGCTTTCAGAATATGGTAACTAATTGAATGGTAGTTTATTGACTCAAATTCGATCCCACGGTCAATGATCTGATTAAGTTCTAAACTGTAGGAGAATCAGGGAAAGGAAAAGAACACAGGAAGGTCCCCAAGTTCTTATTGCAAAAGATAATTTGTGGAAATTTTCAGTACAATGCTGCTGTTATGATCCACTCTTAAGGATTCTACCTAAGACAAACTTGCATACAATTTACAGTACCTTCCCGAGAGAGAATTATCAAGACATAAAATCTCTGCCAACACAAACATTTTTGCTGAGGGATTCATCTGTAACTGCATTCAGCAGAGAAGCGAAAACAATGCCATGACGACTTCTATGGTACCTAGAATGAATCCAGTAATCTTCAGTAAACAACTAGTGCATCAATTTTCATCATGACAGCGTATGCAAAAGCACTCTTAAACACGACGACTACTTTTGCGTGTCCACATGTTGAGGTAGCGCCAGGAGAGCTCGCCGGCTTTGTCAACTCACCCTGTAGAGATGGTAAATAAGTAGCACTATTGTCTGAACCAACTGGTTTTAAACTTCAGTTTTCTTTTTTCTTCACAGGTTGATTACTTTCTAGGATTGAACCCGATGGATCAAACTATCTCCCATCAGGATTCATGACAGAGGTGCCTTAATAATCTCAATAAAAGAGGATAGCCCTTAACCTTTCAGTTTTTGTTTAGGATTTAATGAAGGTATAAACTCGAGCAAAAAAGCATGATGAATTTGAGATCGTTAAAGCTACCACCCGGGAGATCAAGAAAGGAAGAAGAGGTGAGTGTTATGCTATGGCAAACCATCCTTGACCCTCGTGGGTACACGATTTCGAGCTAGGCTCGAAACCAAAAGCTGCAACAAGTCAATCAGACCACTAAACAGAGCTAAATGAGGGGCATTCTACATACAGCATCATACTCTTCAAGCACATCGAAGACGATCAAGCCAGAATAAATGTTAAGGACTCATATAGAAGGGTTAATTCCTCTCAAAATTCACCATGACCAAATTTCCAACGTAACATCAAGTTCTAAAACAAGGAAAAGAGAATCATAGTATCATAGTACCTGAGAATTTCATAACTAGTTCAATACCTCTGGGAAATTAATCATCCCTTATAAACAAACCTTAATATTCAACAACAAAAAGGCACACATACAAGCAGCATACAAAGGATCAAACACAAAACTACATATTTACATATTAAGTAAAAAGGATCACCAAACGATTTTGCAAGAACTATAATAACTTTCAAGTTCTAAGACACCATGAAAATATAAATAGCAATCAGGACAAAAGAACCGGAAACCCCAAAGAAGACAAGAAAAATCAATGCACCAAATTAATAATCATCTCTAATCACACGAGAAAAACAGAGAAAAAACCGATCCCTTCAATTTCAGCAGCAAGCTATTTCCATTGAAAAAATTCGTCCAAAAATTCACATGTAAAATTTCAACTACATTACTTCAAACCTAGGAAAAACAGGGTTACCAAAAAAAAGAAAAACTTCGGGATTAATTGATGTCGGAATCGTCGAAATCGTCTTGGAAAGAGTTAAAGAACCCGGCGTCGGCCAGGCGGTGGAATTCCAGGGCGGTGAGTGGGCTTTCTCCGCCGAAAAAATCCATCGAATCGGCATCATCCATGTCCATCGCTGCTCCATATTCAAAATCTCCAAAGAAGAGTTCCATCGGGTACGGCCTCATCTTCTTCCCGCTAAATTTTTCCTTGGTTTTTTGTCTTCCGAATATAATAAGATCTTATGGTACAACGATAAAAGAATTTGGAGGAATTGCTTTCGAAGACAGAAGCAAGGGTTTTTATCTATAGGAGGAGGAAAATAAACTTATGTTAAATTGCATAATAGCTCCTGAATAAGAAGAATAATACTCCCTCTGTTCCAAAATTATTGTCCAGTTTGAGATTTCATTTTTAATATTATTTAAATTAAAAATTAAAACCCAAATTGGACAATAATTATGGAACGGAATGAATAGTAATTTGATTTATTACTTTTGTTCCCATATCCATACTAATAACAATCACACAAAAGAAAAATCCAATCAACTTCTGCAGGTAAGTATTTATGCGATCATTTGTCCAATTATGCATATTTAACGTTACACTATTCAAGGCGGATTACAATGACTTGAAATCTAGGAACAAGAAGGGCACCAAACAGTAAGCGACTAATTGATGTCGGAGTTTGTTTCACCCCAAAAATACATATTTTTGGCTTAATTGGAGTTAGAGTCATACTTGGATTGAGAAAACTTCTTATTACTAAAGTATTTGTGGGACTCTTAGAAATTAGACAAGAATCACATTTGGGTTAAAATACTATTATTATTAAATGGTTGATTAATTGATTAGATTGGATTTTAAGGGATCATTACGGGTTTGCATGCAAATCGGAGTCTTTTTGATGATTAAATTATGTTCCTACACATTAAAAAGCTGCCTGATTGGTTGGTTAGTGAAGAAGAGTCCAAATTCAACTACATTTGATCATTTGGAGTAAGAATGCAAGGGATTACTACTGCTTTTATCAAATCATGCATGGACTCTACTTCCTTAGCTTTTGCACCAATCTGGAATTTGCCCCATCTTGCCTATATAAAGAGAAGCCGGGGGAAGACAGAAGGGACCACAACACCTCAATTCATCATCAATCAATATCATTCATTTTTCTTTCTTTTTCGTCTTTTTTGTTTACATACTTTAATCATGTTTTTCCAGTGTAACCTAGATTAAATAGTTTTTGGCCTATTTTCCTTCATAGAAATAGGTAGTCGTTTATCGTATTCTACGTCAGTGAATTCTCCTTGTAATAGCGTATTATCAACGCTATCTATTTCTTTTTCTCCCCATTCTAATGAATTGACGGCCACTACTCTCTGGCTTGTCTCACTTCTTTCTTATATTTTTCTTATTATTTATTAAACCGAAGTTAACCCTACGTCCTCGATTCCAAGCCCGAGGCCAGTTTTTGAACACATCCATAGTTACTCTGATTTATTTTTATGCTCGGGTTATTTTCTGTCTCCTTTCCACGATCCGAGTATAATTTTTGCTCAACCAGAGTCATTGAAGTCATCCTGGAAAGAGTTGAAGAAATCGGCGTCGATCAGGCGGTGGTGTTCGAGGGGGGCAAGTGGGCATTCTGCACCGGAGCAATCAAGTGAATCGGCATCATCCAAAGTCCATCACCACCGCAGGATGCTCATCCAAATCTGCAAACAAATCCATCGGTGGCTTCATCTATTTCCCTTGCTTCCCCTGCTTTATGAATGCAACTTCTGAACCACAAATCTTTACGGGTTTTCTTGCATTACAGTTCATTGATTGATGCGGAGAGGTTAAAACCACTTAAAATAAGATTTCGTTCTAGCACATTTTCAAGGTGTTATGTCCAAGTTGGGAATGTGAGAAATCTTATGCTACTCTGAGCCATTAACGAGTCCATATCCATCATCGATATCGGACCAGTCCAGTCGGCAATTGTAAGCCCATCCGACTCTACTAGGGCAGTTTGAGCAGCACGAAACCTAGTAGAACTCGAATACCTCCCAGGTAACTTCATGTCAGCACGAAACCTAGTAGAACTCGAATACCTCCCAGGTAACTTCATGTCTATAAATAGGACTGATCATACCACAATTGTGGTACGCTATGTTTAGCACAAAACACTACTCATATACGTTCCTTAAACCCTTTTACTGACTTAAGCATTGGAGTGTCTACCATCGGGAGATCCCCGAGGCCCTCTTTTATAGAAACCCTAATCGGAGTTCCACTACCAAGCTGGCGGTACAATTCTACGCTTCGTCAGCTATCTCCTTTCCTCATGCACTTCTCTAATAACACCCATCCGCAGCGGTCAATGGTCAAATGGGTAAGGCGTCGAAGAGTGTCTGCCGGGGGTAACTCACTGAGGTTTCTACAAACGGAAAGAGTCAGCCTCTCAAGACATTTTAATTGATCCAACCACTCTGGAAGATACTCCAATGCCTCCAAACTTATTTCTAATTCCGTCAAACAAGCCAAATACTGTATCTGATAGGGAAGAGACCTGACAAATGGCAACAAAGACAGTTCAAGCCTTTTTAGAGAGATGGGAAGATAGGGTCAAGGCAGAATGTAATCTCGATTTTCGGACGCATATATGCTAGTGCTTCCCAATTCTAATTCTTTAAGGTTGGTTAGGTGATACAGATCCTTGGGCCATGCCCCTGGTTCGGCGCTCATTTTTAGATATTCAAGTGGCGCTGAGCTCGGGATGAGCCTGCAAATCGATAAACTCAACTTGCCACAATCCCATATTTCCAGTCTCTGCAGCGATTGGAAATAGAGAGGTTGATTGTAGTGGATGTTTGAATCGAGAGCCGCACCTCGGATAAATGCTTTTGCTTCTCTTCACTTGATATTATCAAATTTGGGATATGCTACAAGTACGGCATTGTCGACATTTTCACCCTCTCAAGGCAGGGAAATACCCTGACTTGGACTGATCTTGCTGCTGAAACTATTCGAATTGACCACTCCTGCAAATAGTTCAGATATCCCAACTCAAATGTCTTCAATGCGGGAAAGATTAAAACTATTACTTCCCCATCATAACTACTGCTGATGCTTTTTCTTGATGACAAAGCATAGGATTCTTCCTTGATGCGCTTCAACCGTGGTACATCTCTATCTTCAGATATTCAAGACGAGGCAAGTCTCCTAGAGCTGGAAGGCGTTCACAATTATGCAGATGACTCAACTCGAGTCTCACCAGATTGTCAAGTATTGATGGCATATGATCATTCTCTCTCTTCATCCAAGATGGATGCTTCCTGATAGGAATACCATTCATTGTTAAGTCTTTTAAATTCGGATGAGGTTCAAAAGCTTTCATCATAGCCAATTCGAGTCTTTCATCAATGTAATCCTCTTTAGATTCATTCCAAATATTCAATCTCTCCTTCACCCAATAAAGCTTCAAACTTTGAACACCTGACTTTTTGGACAAGTTGGACTTGATGGCAGATTCATCACTCTTCACAAGTTCAAGAGAGTACAATTTTAGTTCTCCTTTGAGGTTGTCAAAGTGTTCCAACTCTTGTATTTGAGATCCCTCACATTCTGCCAACACCACTGTACGAAGATTACTCAATTGGCTGAATCTTGGTAAGTCGCTGAATTCAATCAAGTGAATCTGCCTCAAAGTTGAAAAATTCCAAAACCCCTTGGATGCTTCTCTCAATCTGCCAGCTCTTAGCGTCTGCAAATAGTATAACTTTTTGAAGGACTCCGGAAGACACGGTATCTGTGTCTTTTTTATGTCAAGAAATCTCAAATGTTTTAGTTTGCCAATTGAATTTGGCAACTTCTTGGCATACTCACCCACAATTATCAATGCAGAGAGGCATGTAAATTTTTGAATAAATCCTCAGGCAAGTCAATTTTGAAACCTTCCAGATTGAGAGTTTGCAAATTTGAAGGTAGAAAAATACTCAAATTTTCCCACATCTCCTCTTGGCAACCATGGATCGATACATGCACGGCTTCAATCTTACTGTTTATGCTCCTCCAATCTTTCACATGGTAGCAGTATTTTTCCGACACTTGTAATGCAAAATCATGCACAATGTCGTGCATTTTACAAGTTGCGATGTTGTTTGAAACATCCTTTTGAGCATCTTGGAACAAAGAGCCCTTCAACAGAAAATCAAAATAGAACTCTATCCCCTTAGTTTAATGAAGGTAAATAGTCATAACTTAGTTTAATACTAGCTAGAACTCTATCCCCTTCATTATATTCACTCCATGTCCTGCATCGTTCAATCATTGACCATTCTGATTCTGATTTCTTAGAGCACAGCAAGAGATGCTATTGTCTTGATGGCTAACGGCAGACCTCCACACTTCTCTAAAATTCTTTTACCAATATCCACCAATTGTTGAGTCTTTGTTGGATCTCCTTCTGCAAATGCATATTTCTCAAATAATTCCCAGCTCTGATCTCTTTAAAGTATACCAAGTTTATGACACTTGGATGTCCTCATTGCAGAAGCAACCTCTTCATGGCTTGTAGTGGCCAAAATCTTGCTCCCTTCATGTCATCCCATTTGGCCTTATCACGATTCCAAACATCATCCAATACAAGCAAATATCTTTTGTCATTCACTTTCTCTTTCAGCTTTTGTACCAAAGCTACTTCAGTTGTAGCTTATGCAGTGGTTTTTCTCGAGGCATTGGTACATTTCATCTAACAATCTTCTGACATTGAAATCATCTGAAACACAAATCCAAGACTGATCTTTTTTCAGGCCTCGTACAAGACTGATCTTTTCAGCAGTAAATGAAACCACCATATTCAAGAGTGTCTCTGTGAAAGCTTTAATTGCAGGGTCAGCCATCTGAACAAAATTCCCAATTGAAAATTCAGGAAAAAAGGTATGATTCTTAAAAAGAAAGTTTTTGAATATCAGAAAAGGAAAGGAGGAGGAATGAATGGGAAAAAAACAGAGCCAGGAAAGAAGTGGAGTAAAAAAAAACAAATGATATAATCATGAACGAATTTGAAGCCATCTTTCCACCACTAGCTAATGAAGTAAAGTAACACAACAGAATTTCATTTTCGTTAAACAATGTAAAGAATGGTTTTTTAAAAATTAAAAATGTAAAGTAATTAAGCTGATTGCAAGTTTGCGTTTAACCTTGTAGAAGTTATTAATGTGGGTAGGGGAAAACAAATTGTTCACCATTAACTCCATATGAGCGATTACTTTTGAACCTAAATAATTTAACAAATCAAACTCTTATTTCGAGACAACTACTATTATTTTTGTAGGCATTTACATATAAAAACTTTAAAAGAATGATCTCTCCTTTTGTGTTCCTTCCCATTGGATCCGAAAATTAATCCTTTGTCTCCCTTAACGCTGAAAAAATTGCTTGCAATCCTTGAATGTAAATATCATTGAGCAAGAAAAGAAAGTTCTTGTTCTTAATTATGACTTGGGGTTGATTTGATTTTGAGGCAACAGAAAGGTTTGCAGGAATGTTTAGTTGATTTGAAGTACAATAAAACCTTTCTAAATTAATCCTCTTTTTAAGTAATACTTTTATTAAATAATATTTTTCTGCAGTCCGTACTAAACATGAAAAATCTTGATTAATTTATAAGATAATAATTTTTCAAGAATCTCCTGCGTAAATATAGGTTTTCACAATTTCATAAGTTAATAAATAACTAAAATAATAAATTAGAGTTGAAGATTAACTTAAATTTAACTTAAGTATTTTTGTTTATTTTTTGTAATTATCTTATTTTTTTCTATTAAAAAAATTATATTGTTATGGCTAGGCTTACAACATATGTATCGCATTTCAACCAAATTTTCTATCCTTGGACCTAAAATCTGGTTTGAACTTGGTTACTTAATAATTTTATGCTTATTAACAACAACGATACAATAATGGCAGTACTAAATTACTCTTAGAAAAAAAATTAAACACTTTGGATGCATTTAACACATCTATCGCATTTTAATCACAAAAATTATAACTATCCATCCGATTTTAAAAGAAAAGAAAAAATTTATCCTCCATAAAAAAAAAAAGATTTTGATGGATGAGAGTCAACAATGAACCTTTAAACAAAATTATTCTATCTTTAATTTGAAATTACTTCTAATAGGGGAGAGAAACTAACTGATCAAATCAGGAAATAAATTAGATAAGAAAACAACAAACTAATTCTTCTAAATTTTGATACTGAAAATTCCCACCGAAGATGCGGACGCTGATTGTTTATAGTAACATGAGTTTTGGACTTTTGGTGAAAGGGATTGCTCATAGTTTTTAAAGAGGAATTGGTATGGGTTATGTGAAAGAAAATTTGAAAGAGACAGGAATAGAGCAAAAGGAGGCGGCAGAGAAGCTAATGCCTTTGACTAAGGGGCAATTCTAGAAAATATAAAAAAAAAATTGTACTAAATGCTAAAAATTATTGTGACAGAATCACGACTCTTAATAGAGGAAGCTCAAGATTTTTACTGCATTCACTCCTCCCCTAAGACATCTATACTACACAATATCTTGGAGACTTGGCGTCTTGATTTAATTTATTATATTCAAAATATGAATCTAATTGATATAACTTATGTTTTTTTAGTGTTGAACCCAATCTTCTCAAAGGAGTCGAATGAGAAGATTATATTTCGTAACCCGTGTATGACATTAAGCATGGTGACATTTAAACAACTTATATGACATGGTCTTGTCTGATTTTCATTTATTTATCACATCGTATAAACGTTAATATCAAATACTCTTCATCTCTGAACAATAATTCAAATTATGAATTAGAAATTGTACTATTTTTAATAAAATTTTTAATTTATGATATGAACTATATTTGTGGGATGTAAAGAGTAATTATCTTATATCATAATGACAATTAACCTGAAAGTGTCAATTAATAAGTCAGGACTTCTATTAAAAGAACTTTCAATCCTGTAAATACTAACTCTGCCGTAATCCCTCTAAAGGTGTTTTCTGGATTAGGCGTAAGAAGAACAACAAAGCTCATGAATTAAAGGTTATTGCCAAAATTGATGATTAAGTTGGTATTGTTTGGCTGGTACTGTCGGTAACTATTTGTCACCTGCAGCTGGAAGCATTCCATCAAGTATAATAAAATCTCTCTTTTAACCTTTTTTTTTTTAAAAAAAACTTTGCCTTGAAAAGTATCCTAGAAAAGCAAATGTTCTCCCCATATCTATTTCTTTTTTTTTACAACTTTTTTTTTAATTTTTTATTTTTATAAATGTTGGATCTGTAAGTTTATTAGTTTCTAATCGCTTTATCTATTATTAGACATAAATAAAAGTTTATCTTATATGAAGGGAATATTTTCCTCTAGAATAGTACAATTCTGTACAACTAAAATATTTATGTATTATTTGATTCACGATTTCTTCTAATTTTCGTATATATATATATATAAAGTTATTGTACGTGAATTTGACCGATTTTCTTACCATAACTGTGGGGAGAAACTAATTCTTTTATCATCTATTGAAATGAGGAACCTAACCCAACCAAAAATCAATAAAAAACTAACTCAACCTAGCTGTATGATTCCCATCATGTAGATTCAATGGACAATTACGATTTGTTATCGGCTCTGAAAACACTTCAATTTCTTTTGTGTGTTTGTTTTAAAAAGTTTTAACTACTACAGTGTTGAAGGGACGGGTGTAATACACTTCATGAATTTATGTTCTTTAGAAACGGTGGATTTAAAACCTTTTTACACTTGATGAATTCATTTATATGATAATGGAGTTGGATATATATAAAATTGTTAATTCATGTAAAGCTTCCTTCAAAAAGCGATCTCGAGGAAACAAATAAACAGAGCAGGGGCAGAGAGCCTTTTGAGTATATTGCAATAGTCAAGGTAAAAAAAAAACAAAAAAAAAAAAAAAGAGAAAGGAAGAAGCAACCATTGTCCAAAGGAAGTGGGATCAATTAGTATGGCTATAGGAAAAAAAAATACTCCCTCTGTCCCAAAATTATTGTCCAGTTTGAGATTTCACTTTTAGTGCAATTTGAACTAGAAATAAAAACCCAAACTGGACAATAATTATGGGACGGAGGGAGTACTACAAAATTTACAATCTTCAACTCCATCTAAAACTGTATTTGATCCCAACAAGCTCCATAACTCCTACATAAAAACTTCTGCGAAATTACTCATCATTTGTTAACAAACCTGAATATACACTTAATATCCCCCCTAAACAATATAGAGATCGTGTATTTATATATATAGTAATTATAATGAAAGAAGAAGAAGACCAAAAGCTGTAAATGAAACACAGTCAGAGGTGGCGATATAACATTGTAACTAAATGAAACACAGTCAGAGGTGTCGACATTGATCGGATACTGTTAGGATTCTAGTCGAGTCGAATCCCAAAACTCCAGAAATTAGAGAAGGAGACAGAGACTAAAACATAAAAACTTCTTCTTCTTCTTTTTTTTTCTTACGTTAATAATATTAAATTTACATATTTATAGACTAATCAACAACTAGAAACTAGGAAGAATAACTCCTACTAACTTATCCATTAAACCCATGATTTTAGTAAAACTGAAACTAATGTGACTGATCCTAAATAAAATAACTAATTAATTTACCTAGATAAAAGTAATTAAAATAACATAAAACATTATCACTAATTCCTGACATAACAGATACATACCTTTGATTGACGAACAACTTGAACAGATTTTGTTCCTCTCTCTAGCTAGCTCTTCTTCTTATTTTTTGGGGTCTTCTTTTAAGAGAAAGAACACCGAAAGAAATGTAATGCTAGTTTCCTTTTTTTTTTTTTTTTCTTCTCTTTTGGCGGGGTGGTATTGTAGAGACAGACAAACAAGAGAATGAAGTTATGTACGAAAGGATTATATATATATGAACAGCAACGAAACATGTCATGACGGGTGAAGGAGAAGTGTAATATTATGTTGGGAAAAGAATTATCTTCAAAAAGAAGTTTTAAAGTGACAAGCGATTCCAAATTTATTTGTCCAACTCCACCAGTAAAGAAAGAATCAGCCTCTCCCTCTTGTTTAGTATTACTAGTTTATTTATATATAAAAAAATTTGTAGCATAAAGGGAGTTTTCCTTCCGAAAGCATTAATATTAAATGATAGAGAGCACTGTAAATTATATTATTCTTTATGCTGAAACCATTGCCAAGAAAAAGGAAGAATAACTGCCAATGCACGTTGTCCTCGATAGATAGATGCGGTTTAATTACTAGAGAAATGGTCTCGTCTGCTTTCAGACGAGTTTTTGAGTTAAAAAATAGTTAAAAAAAGGAGTAGAGAGAAATATAGATCGAAATTTAGAGAAGAGCAAAATACCGAAATCGGATTCTTAAATTCTGATTTTTAGAGAAAATTGAATTCTCAAAATCCGACCTTCTCTTAATACGAAAAATTAATAAAATTAATCAAGATTAAGAGAAGGCCAGATTTTCAAAATCTGACCTTATCATATTAAAATATAATATTTTGAAGAAAAACACTTACTTTTTTTTTTGAATTGAAATTTTGACCAAGGTCAGATTTTAGAAATCCGATTTTAATAGAAGGTCGGATTTCTGAAATCCGGGTAAGCTTAAATCGGATTTTGAGAATCCGGGTAAGGCAAGTTTGGATTCTCAAAATCTGATTTCTTAGAAAACCAAGTGGAAGGTCGGATTTCAGAAATCCAACCTTGGACAGAAACTTAGAAAAAAATAAAGGATTGGTTTCTAAACCAATCGCAACCTATAACAACAGCACCAAAACCAAATTTCACGTATAAAATTACCTATAACCACATTCTAAACACATCGTAACAAACATTAACAAATTCAAAAGCATTCAAATTCCAAAATCATCCAAATTACAACTAATAAACATTAAAGAGTTTAAAATCAAAGAGTCCTACAATTGAATTACTTAGACGACATTTTCTTCCTTATAGCCCCGTTGCCGGGAGTATACTTCTCGGCTGGTTTACTAACCCTATCACTCTTGCGAACCTCGACCGTTTTCTTTTTCTTTTGGGAAGAAACACGAGGTGGAGAGGACTCTTCTTCTTCTTCTTCTTCTTCTTCTTATTCTCCTTCGCCCCCAATGTAGTAATCCTCATCGCTTTCATTGCCTTCATCATCTTCTTGCATCGGAGTTGGATTTGGATGAACTATGATTGTTCGATCTGAAATTCCCTGTCGCTTCCTCCTTCCTCCTCCAGTAGATTTCGATGTTATTTTCTGCGTGAGCACAACATGTTGACTTGACTTCGGGGGTCTTTTTTGAAGAACCTGAGTATCGGGCTGAGTGCTCATATCACGTGGGCCCACAGTCAGGGCACTGAAACTCTTGTCGAAGATTTGGAAGAGTTTATCCTCTAGACTACTACCGAGGCCTGGATTTTCCCGTAAAGCTGCATCAGCGAGATGATATATGTTGCTGAGATTTGAAGACTGCAGAAAATTGAACCATGTTAATAAAGTATAAGATATAGCAAGAATTAAAAAATAAAAAAATTTTAAAATAAAATATCGACATATATCTTACATAAAATCTCTCCAGAAATGAAGACGAGTGATAACCCAGTGCCAGAGGACCGTATTGAGTGGGATCAGTCATAAATCTGATAGTTTTCTTTTGAAACCACGGCATGTAGTCTGATGTGCACTGAGGACCTAGTTCCGGATCAACCAATTCATGAGGGACCACGTGCTGATCTCTCGCATTCCAATGTGGTCGTACCTCGGTGTATTTTTGCACCCAATCATCATATGCCTTTCCAGTCCCAAAGCATCCGTGGTGTATCGCATTCCAGCGATCAATGTCATTGATTAACGGGTACTCTGGCACAGTTTGCTTACATTGAAATTGACGAAGGACCCGATTGGGCTCGTATGATTCTCTGATGGCCCAACAAAAGATCCACGTCCTACAGAGGTAGATATGAACCACCTCTTTATAGAAATCAAGGAGATCGTCGATGAAGGGAGTGTATGGAGTCCATAGAAATTGGCCAAAATTAAAAAATTGGTAAAAAAAATAGAGAAAAAAATAAAAAGGAATTTTATCGAGTAACTTAAATCAATACTTATATCCCCATCCCTTAGGCTAGATAACTGATCCCTGATGCCAACAACACAATGAGCAACGATGTTCGCTTTGGATTTTGGGCATTTCCACCTATGAAGGAAAGGAATTCTAGTTAAAAAACCATATGATGGAGACATAATAGGATAAAATTAATAAAATAAATCTATAATTACCTATTACCTAGTGGAGCATCCGGTACCTAGTAACTCTCATCTTTAACCTTCCTCTTCGGTTGAAGTCTTGGGATACGCTCCCAAACCCGTAACTGAAATTTTCAATCAAACAAAAAAGGCACAAATTAGAATAAAAAACAAAAATATAATAAAAAAAATAAATACACAAACAAACACAAAAATTTACCTGCATCAGCATATAACATCCGGTAGTGTCTTTCTTCTCGGGCGCGGAAGCTTGACACAAAGCAAAGTACAACTTCGCCAACACAGCTGACCCCCAACTGTAGGTAGCACAGACATCCAAATCCTCTAGTATTGTCAGGATCCAAAGCGGTATTCTGTTTCCCGTATTGTCAGGAATCAAGAAACCTCCAATCAGTAGTAAAAGTAAGGCACGGGCCCTCTGTGTATAGGCCTCTCTTGGAGCATTTTCTGGGATCGGAAGTTTACACTTGTTGATTAAACACTCTGCATAAATCTTATTCCCATCAAACATGTCACTAACGGGTGTAATTCCCAACAATCTAAAGCATATCGCCATCCACTTTCAAACCTAATAACACCTCAACGTCTTCAAGAGTGATAGTAGTCTCGCCAAAATGAAAATGAAAGGTATGGATTTCAGGCCGCCACCTCTCAACCATTGCGGTGGATCAAACAATTGTCCGCTTGGATATAACCTAGTTGGATCACCCTCCCCAAAGCCTGCCCGCTTTATCTCTTCTATAACTTGTGGAGGGCAATGTCTACTCGGTTTCTCTATAAACGTCCAAAAATGACTATCAAATCTCCTACCTTTAAGGGTTTTACTGAACGCCTCATGGTTCTCGAAAATGGCTTTTGCCCTATGATGGTCATAAAGGTATAACAACGAGTCATCTATTGGAGCCGGATTAAAATGTTGCAGTGTAGGTTGCGAGGAGCTCGAACCCTCCATTTTTTTTATCCTACAACATTTATCAATATCAAAACTATCAACATTCATCCAAAAGGCACATTTCAAAATTAAACCCTACTATCAAAACACTTGTATACTATCAACAAAAACATAGTAATTAACAAGCATGTAGAGAGCAATAGTAATTAAAACCATAACAAACCATAACAAAAACATAGTAATTAACAAGCTATGAAGTTAGACAGCAATAGTTCACAATAGTAATTAAAACCACCAAAGTTATTCAGCAACTAGACTATGAAGTTATTCAGCACACAGTCACACACACACACACACACAGAGTCACACACAGTCACGCACAGAGTCACACACAGTCACACACATAACATCATAACGCCGGGAAACACTCTGCCAAACAACAATACAAACACACACACACATACACACACACACACACAGTCACAGACACACACACACACACAGAGTCACACACAGTCACACACACACACACACACAAAGAGTCACACACAGAGTCACACACAGAGTCACACACAGTCACACACACAACACCATAACGCCGGGAAACACTCTGCCAAACAGCAATACACACACACACATACACACACACACACATAGTCACACACAGTCACAAACATCAATACACACAGAGCATCCTTGCAATCACAACCGGCAAACAAATCCAGATACAATTCTCCTATAGTTCATTCAGATTCTAGGGAAAAAGAAAACGAAACAAATCCAGTTCTATAAATATACCTACAATACAATTCTCCTAAATTATTAAACTAAATCAAACGCATTAATCACTAAAGTGGCTTCTTCCTGGAACAAATCCACAGTCTTAATAAAAGTGGCTTCCACCAAAGCTCGGATCGGCAAGAAACGAACGCCCTTGAGGACGTTGTTGTAACTCTCAGAAATGTTGGTTGTCTGGTTACCCCAACGATAGTGTTTGTCTTTGGCAAGAGTCTACTGACAAGCATCAATCTTCTCGAGATACAAATATGCATCATTGCTAAAATCACGTAGCTCTTTCCTTAGTTCTTTGAATTTAGCTTTGAAAGTTTCGTGCCCATCTCCCAACACAACCTTTTGATATTTTTACTTCAAAACTGCGCCACCAAGTTACTACGGACGTGACGAAGGCAAAACCGGTGGTATGCATTCCATTCGGGCATTAGGCGTATTGCACTGATGATACCCTTGTGCCGATCGGATATAACACACACAGGACGGTCGGATATAACATGATTCCTCAAATGCTTCAAGAAGAATGACCAACTTTCCTCACTCTCTACATCCACGATCGCATATGCAATTGGCAGGATGCGGTTATTCGCAGTTTTGACCATTGTAGCAAGTAATTTCCCTTTGTATCCGCCACGCAAGTGCGTCCCGACGATACTAATCACCGGAGGACATTTAGCAAAACAATCAATTGCAGGCTTGAATGCCCAAAAAACGTATTTGAACGTCCTCTCTGTATTGGTCCAACCCGGTTGCCATTCCCACTCTACAACTGTGCCGGGGTTGCTCTTCTCTATTGCTGCAAAAAACCTAAATTAAAAAAAAATTAATGCAAAGTAAATTACAAACAAATCGAACAAATTAGATAGGACTTAAGTAAATACCTTGGAAGTATGTCAAAATTGGAAACCCAGTCACCGTAAACAAGATCGATGGCTTTTCTCCTTCCCTCCCATGCCCTGTGGTAAGGAACATCGACATGTATACGGTCTTTCACTTCTTCCTGAACGAGCTTCACTTCATAATACGAGTCCAACTCAACCTTATGCTTTATGAGATGAGCAATAAGCGTTACGCTCACATTTCGATTATTATTTTCCTCGGTAACATTCATACAATTGTGCTCGGGCACCCATTTCACAATCTCCCACAAATCGTTGTCTCTCAAAGAGGCACGTACTATCCAACGGCAAGGAACATAACCCTTAGGGGTTGACTCTTTCAGAGATTTGCACCAAATATACCATGTTGAACCATCACTTTCCTTCACATAAAACTCTCTCTTTTGCTCTATGTTCCACACTGCAATACCATTTTTTACTTTTTCCTTATTCTTGAAATAAGTCCCTATCCCGGATGTTGCGGTTGTCCCGTCCCACATGGTAAGTTGAAATTCATCCTTGTCCACTTTTGTATGATCCCATGTACCCTGTGAACGATATATGTGCTTGTGCTTTGTGGCGAATTTGTCTTCGACCTCTTCATCACTCTCCCGACTTCCTTCGGATATTGATTGGTTTTCATCGCTTTGATCACTTATCGATGTGTAGTCCTCATTATCTTCTGCGTGATTATCTTTCATGTGATCGCCATCCTCCATAATCGGTCCACCCACATCATCATCTTTCATGTAATCGACATTCTCCACATTCGGCCTACCACTTCTTGTCCCTACTTTCAAATGGGACCTAGAAGTACCCGCCACCTCCAAATCCACATACAAATCAATATATGTCGAATTTCGGAGGAAATAGAACACTTGCAACGATGCGTCGTCCTTGATTTTGGCGATACGCCTAAAACCATTGCCAAAATCGTATCATACAAAATCGATAGACTCAAATTCACATTCTCTCTATTCCACCCCGCTCTTTCACAAATCAATCCAACCAAATCATTGTACAATAACTTATGATCAATCACAAAGGAATCGTCCGACATGTTGTTAAAAGTATTTACAATCCCATTTTTCACAACAAATTTGCTCGACCAATAGACATTAATGAAATTTGGACCGTTAAACGCCATTTATATCTGTTAATTACGTGAATTACAACACATTATGAACAAATTATTAAAAAAAAATACACAAACAAGGTATTATAAAACAACTTATTAGAACAATTACCAAAAACTAAGCATAATCAACACTAAATTTACTAAACCCCCTACAAATTCAAAAGTTTAGGCCAAATTCAAGCATCTTACTAAATTGAATGTTTAATATCACGTATACAACAACAATCATCAGCTACACCCAACATCAACCCTATAACTATAACTCATCCTAGTTCTACACTTTTACAAAGAAAACAACAACAATAATTCTAAATACATCAAAACAATAACTAACCTTCTTGTGAAATGGTTTAAGACATCCTTTGCGAAGAATCGTGAACAAAATCTTCAAATCGCCACTAAAATCACCTCCTCCTTCAAGAAATCGTCACCTTCACCAAAATCCCGATATGTGAATAGTGTTTTCGTCGTCCCATTATAACACAATAAGGTCGGATTTCTAAAATCCGAGTTTATAAGTAAGGTCGGATTTCCTAAATCCGATTTACCTATCAACTCGAATTTCAAGAATCCGACCTTCTGCCCGCCAATAACGTCCATTCAATGCCGATATCTACTGTTAGGTATGCTTAAATAAGGTCGGATTTTGTAAATCCAACCTTCTACTGTTCTTAATTTTCAAATCTCCTGCCTATATTTATTTTTTAAGCATAAAAACGTAGGTCGGATTCCAAAAATCTGACTTTGTACTGTTCTTAATTTTCAAATATCTTGCCTATATTTATTTTTTAAAATAAAGAAGGTCGGATTCTAGATTGTTCATTAGTTGACTTTCATTTCATATTTTTCACATGTATTTTCCGAAAAAATGATTATTTTAGTAAATCAGATTTGATTTACTAATTTAATTAGAAGATAGGATTTTGTAAATCCGATCTCCGTATTTTGCTTCACCAAAAAAAAAAAAGAAGATCTACCTACTCCTTTTTCTAGGCATTTTTTAAACCAAGGCACCCGCTTTCAGACTGTGATGAGATGAGCAATCCAAAAAAAAAGGGCATGGAGAAGCTTCATTTTTGGGCTTTAATTTTTGATGTACGGCCAAAAGAGATCAATTCTCTTCCATGAATCGCTTGACATCTCTCTCTATTTCATTATGTGGACGATTTGGTTAATTAGATCGAAACGAGCTATAGAGTGTGGAGAAATACACCTCTGAATTCCATTGCGATTCAATCCGCGAAGAAGCTTTTTTTTTGTCTTCAACAATACCACACAATTGTATGTATTAATCACACAAACAAATTGTAAAAGACACATTACATTAACATGTTTATTAGTACCGCCCCTCATGTTGGAGTAGTTCTCTGGCATTTCTTGCCTGATATTTTTTCCCGTCACCTGAGGAATTGTTAGTGCCAAACTTGAATTCCGCAACCTTAGAAAAGCTTTTTGAAAAAAGATGGCTTTTCAAATTTGTAAGTTTCAATGAAAGGGATTTGCAGTTGAATTTGCTTTCCATATCCCGATATTCTGCAGTTCCGAATCAGAGACATTGGCAGGGTTTTGGGCAAGTTCTTCGGAAACAACCGCATGCTTTTTCTCGAGAAGAAATTGTGTAGAAAAAAGCTCTGAGTTATGGAACCCTATCATCCATGCATCCATGAGAAGATCTTAGATGCAATGAACTCAAGATGAGGAGGAAGTTCAGAGCAACTCTGTTGTTCTGGGTATTCTAAGTTTGGGCAACATTATTCTTAAACTCCCCTTATTTTCTTGTATCTTCTTATCGTACTTGCTATGTTTTGAAAACCGGACCGGACCAGGCGGTCGAAACAAATTGGAAACTGAAATTTCTTGAAAAATTTCTGGTTCAATGTGCGAGAAACGAATTGGAAAAATTTCATTCCATAGAGGCATCTAAGTCTACAACTTGGTGTCAATAGTTTTGACGAGTCCAAATTAGTGCGGCCCGTGACTAAGCCAGCCCAAGTTCGGTAAAAGGTCCAACCGGCCTCTGGAAGCATCTAGGTCAGTTCTTAATTACTTTTCTACTAAGAAAGGGTTCCATCACCTAGCTCTATAAATAGGGATCAACCCTTCGCGGTTAAAGGTACGCTCTATGCACCACAATTCATACCCTATTAACAATTACTCTTACTGACTTAAGCATCGGAGTGTCTACCCTTGGGAGACTCCGAGGCACTCTTTTGCAGGTTTTAGGTTTTTGACTCCGCCATGACCGCCGGTTCAACCAATCGGAGACGTTGGTGCAAATCCATGCTTCGTCAGGTGGCACACCTGGTGGGACCCGCTAGAGTTTCTCTCCTTCCCGACGAAGGTGTAGCTGCGCCTAATATCTCTGTCTATGGCTTCCAGGTTTTGTGTTTTGAAATTATGATATAAGAGGCTGCATGATAAAAACCTCTGGAACAATGAACGTATTTGATATACTTCCCTTATCTGATTAATTAAGAGGCAAGTCGTAGGTAGCTGATATTAATTAATTAAGCGCACCATGCTGCAAGAATTAATTAAGCGCCAATATATGCAAAGTTAACATCTTGTCATGGAGGCCACACCCTTCCTTACTTTTCTTTGCTTTTGGTTTATTTTGGTGTAGAGTTCGTAAAAAGCCTCCACCATCCACGCGAGAAGCTCATCAAGCAGCTCCGGCACCCACTTTTTATCAAACGTGAAGCCTTAAGAAGTATGAAGATCTGATAATGAAATTTAATAAGATCTTAAATCTTACTAACCCTCCAATGTTCGAGCAACACCAACAAAAAGCAAACAGAGAATAGATGCAGGAATCTGTTTCGCCGAGAAAGTTTCGACAAGTTTGATAAATTTCGTGAACAAACTTGCCCTAACAATTCAGAATTTTATAAGCTTATCAGAATTTTGCCCCAGCGGTTTTTGTAAGCTTACATACAGGTCCTCATGACTTCAAGGCAAGGGCACCAGACAAGTTGCTCGAGTTTACAATCTTCTCGAAGAGACCACCTACCCTGATATCATTTCTCGGAAGGGTTCGAGAGGAAGATACTTTGTTGTTCAACTACGAGCACAACGCTATCAGGTTCGAAGGAAACACTACAATATACCATCCAGGTTTTGTCTTCTGATCTAATACTAACATCAGTTATTAAGAAAAATCATGAGTCGAGCACAATAATTTGATCTTTTTTGTGTACATGCATGCTCGAACTGGTGTGCCTGAAAAATTGATGATTATACATACATGCGTATGACTCTCGATGACATGACTTCACTTTACATACTCGTTTGCTCGACTTTCTCCTCTAGAATTTTGGAAATACAATTTCTTTGACCTGGATCTATGGATCTTAATAATTTGAGAAAAACTACGTTCTCGTTAGTAACAAGAATAGCCTGAGACTTTAAATATAATATACGCATATAGTCGTGTCATGACGAATCAATGTCATTCTTCTATTGCCTTTTTTGGATTTCTTTGATTCTGTGCCATGGACCGTGGTTGCCTGAGGATCTTATTTACATGTTGCACCTATTGACATGAGTTTCTTAATTCCATATATGAGCATCATTGTTCTATTTTTATCAACCATGATTTGTTACGATAAATCTTTTGAGTTTATGGTTAACTAAGGAAGTTACTGCCCATCAACCTTGGTTCGAGAGACTACACAGCCTCCTCGAATAAAACAAGATCGAGAAGCAGATTAGTCAGCGAGGATTACGAAGCCTCCAATTCCGGCAGAAATCCAAGCAGCCGCAGCCGCTCGACAGGGATTCTAAATTTCTTGAAAATTATAAAATGGTCCTTTGTGATTTTAATATACTCTGACGCTAACACTTCTGAAAGCACAGAATAGTCCTTGAACCGTCAAAAGACATACTTGCATAAAATTCTCTTTAACTAAGTAGAATTTATTCTCTAGTTCCTTTGAATATTATTTCTCATCCCTGCTTCTAATGGTTTTATTGTTTTTCATATCAGTCCTAACTTTACAGCAGGGGGCGACCTGATATCTCAAAGGTCCCATCTCCTCGAAGAGAAGCTCAACTTCTTCAAGACTTGTGCACAAGGCTACTCCGTCCGTTTCTGGCAGTACAAGCTGAAACACTCATTCCTACATAGTTGCGTGAGGCGGAGGCTTTAATGACAGATAAGTTATCGTAGCCTTCCATCATAAATAAGTCCTTGTCATACATTATTGCCTTCCGAACTTATTCAGTTCGAAGGTGACAAATTTATGTCTCAAACATAAATATGCGTAAATACACATGCTATGCCTCTCTGAGTATATTGTTGCTACAAAATCATAATATATAGTAACATATCGATTGCATTTTATCTGATTAGGTTTCATGTATACTTATATGAATCAATACCTCTTTGCCACCATAACAAACATGAATGTTTTTGAAAAGTATTTCAATAACATTACAAATTGAATTGTGTGCACAACTACTTGATTTTGGGGTACTACTTGCCCTATTCTTGTATGAGAACATGACATTCGCATGCTTACTTCATTTTAAGCCATGCTCAATTCTTATATGCTCACCAAGGGTCCAACTACCCTATTATTAGAGAAACTAATGTTTTGTCCAAAGTGAACAGCTATGCAAGCATAGCTCGATTTTTCGAGGGACCGGGGGCATATACAGCCGTGAACACGCAAATCGTCCTTGTGACAAGAGTGGAGACAATCTCCTCGACTGACTTAAAAGGAGATAAGTAACCCTAAACTTACTCGTACCATGTTACCTTATTTCGAACCAGACTTCTATAATGAATACGATCTTGGTTATGCTCTTTAAATAACACATTAAATACGTGTGCCTCCTTTGAGGTGATCTAATGAAATGTGTACAGTTATAATAACCTACCCGAGCGTGGCGCAGTTGTACTACTTGATTTTGCAGGTCTTGTGGCACAGTTGTACTACTTGATTTTGCAGGTCTTACAATAAGACAATCCGAGGAGCACCCTTCTCGAACCATGAACTAACCCATTCCAAGGAAAATCAAGAACGAAGATAGTCACTCCATGATACAAAAGTATACTCAGGCCACAGTAGGCTTGAACAAATAAAGGACTAATACACGGTACATGTCAAGAACGAGCTCTGTTAACAACAACGAGGAGCTTCTCGACAAATGGGTATTATTGCTCTAACTTGCGGATACCCCTGGAAGAGTACCAAGAGATAAGTGATATGCTCTCCTCATAATATTATTGCCTAAATATATGAACATCTGCATCATAACATGAATGTTACGATAGTTCATAAGCACAAAATAATTATTCTTGCACTCTTATTATGACACATTAGACACGTGTTTCTTGATCTCTTTCAGTATCCTCGAACTTTCGCATGCAAACTTCTGCACGAAAAGTCTTTCTCAAACGCATAATTTATTTACCAATTAGTTGTCTAATGGGACATTAGTATTGAAGCATGACGTTACAGCTCTTACATATACATGACTTTGTTTACTCTCCACGAAGTAAATTTTTTGACCCATCTTAAACACGATAGCTAAGTCATGTTCATTTCCTTTATTTTGAAACGGGGTAGATACCCTTCTCATACTTACAGTTGTCGGCAATATTCTCTAAAGGTCATAGTGCAGAATGATTCCTCTTCCTTGCCGTGAGGCGCAGTGGATCGTTGTGTTTACTCTATCGAACAACTAACTTGAAGTTACTATATTGGGACCACAATGAATTTCACATCTGATGGTCCAGCTCCATGACAAATCGCTATGACTCTTCGTGGGTCCGTAGTAAGTATGAATCCATAGAGAAGCATTGCAAAATCTCTGCATCATTCTTTCATAGATGGTGTGGGTTAACCAAACTGTGGCTTCAATAGCCTAGCTCATATCGTGGTGAGATCTTTCCACTTTTTACATTTTATGTCTCGAAATGGCTGTTTTTTAAGGGGGCAAAGTCCCTTAATAATATATTATATTCCATGTCATTTCTCGTACTATGATAATTTATTACTCACTAATAAATCTACAAGTACATGAGTGGGTATTTTGTCAGGATTAGAGAACCATTTGGGCTTCTAGTGGTGTCTGCGCTCGAGAGCCATCACCATCAGAATGATTTATCCTCGACAATTGCCATGGAAGGATTCAGACGAATACTTCCTCAAAACTAAGGTACGCTAGAATGATCTCTTTGAATACGCATCCTCGATCGAGGAGCCCATATATACACTATCAAGGTCTGAGAGCCTTTATGCACTTATTAGATGAACTTCTCACTATCTTTCAGTCGGCATGTCATTATTATTATACTTGCAATATATGTCTTGGACTAAGCTGCAGGACAAGCATACCCCGGGAACTCTGGGGCAAAATAAGCAGAGATACGTAACTCTCGCTCTGACCTTAGAGTGTTCATACTTTAAACCCGGGATATAGATTATCAGTCTAATGCACATAGTGGTAGCCCACTCGAGTACTCATGGGAGCTGTTATATCTCATATACGCAGTTACACCCATTTAAACATGACTAGTCACTTGAACGGATATCCTCTTCAGGATCGTCCTTAAAAAGACATTCTCTTCAGAATCGTCTGTATTCGAGGAACTCGTACCCAATTTCCTCGAGGATATCCTCTTCAGGATCATCCTTAAAAAGATATTCTCTTCAGAATCGTCTGTATCCGAGGAACTCATATCCAGTTTCCTCGAGGATATCCTCTTCAGAATCATCCTTAAAAAGAAATTCTCTTCAGAATCGTCTGTACAAAGGTGTCCTCTTCAGGATCGCCTGCAAAAGAGCCGTGTACTTAACATCCAGCCATTATAAGCGCTTTACAATTAACTCATAAGCCGTGTACTCGATATCCGGTATTGAGAAAGGCCAGATTTTCATGTTCATGAACAATGGGTGGAGTATCCCTCGAACCTAAACACGTGTTTTATACCTCAATGAGAACTAGATTTGTTCTCGAGTATACTTTCTTGGATCGATATATCATATCATCCAATACATTAGAATGAAAATGACTTTATTCTCGATGTTCTCGAATTCACTTTGTGCCTCGTTAATACATGCCTATTCCTTCTGTTAGGTGGTTACCATCCATCTCCTTCTGATAGACGCCATTTTATTGCCTTAACCCTACGAGTATGGGGACTTCTTGATTAGGCACCTCCTCGAACTGAGCGGCGGGAATTACACTCTCATCTAAAGTCTCGGTTTGTGAAATGCCACCCCAAGACTTGGGGGCTCTGAGATGAGTAATGGCTCCGGGGTTATCTATAACGAGGAGTGTTTATATATGGGAGATTGTAAGGCATCTGGAAGGTGTGTAAAGTGTCTGGAAAGTGTGTAAGGTGTTTTGGAGGTGTTTTGGGAGGTTCGTGTTTTTGTTTTTTTTGATGATTATTGATCTACGGATCTCTTCCTATGACTATTCTCGATGGTCCTTAGACTGGGGTATCATTCCTTCTCACACTAATGCGTAATACCTCCTCGATTCTTGCTCGAATCTCGGGCAACGACATTATACATCTACTCGGGTTCGACACATCAATCTGATTTATACTTCTTAAACCCGGACTATGGGTTTTATGCTTTATTTCTCGGGACATGAGAAATGGCAAGCGGGTCGGTTGGGTGGATATAAATAAACTTAAATGCTTGTGTACCTTGTTCGAGGTCAGATGATTGCAGCTCTTGAGTTTGGTCTGGAGCTCAACTCGAGAGAATCTTCTCGAGTCTCACTATCTCTGCATCATGGATATCACATGTGGCATCTCTTACAGTGTCTTCTACTCTTCTATCTCTCCTCGACAACTGAGGATGTATATGATGACAGTTTCTTCTCTCTGATGTGATATTACACTCGAGCCGGTCTTCTCGAGTCTCTAGATTTCTTAAACAGAAGGTCACATTGGGGCAAGTTCTCGGGGTGCAGTTCAATCCCAGACTTATGTCCTCGACATCGAGTATTCTCTGTCTTCATTTATGATGTTTCTACTACTCTGTGGCTATTCTCGAGGTCTAAGTCTATTACTTCTCAATCAGAAGCATGCGTCATCTCGACAGTGGATATATCTTAGCCGCTGCTAATGGCGCATATTTTGAGACTAGTGGGAATCTCCGCTACGTTTCTTTCTCGACGACTGATTATCTTGGGCCAAGTTCTTAGCATGCAGCTCCAGCTTATATTTCTTCTCGAACTTATGTCTTCGACGACAAATGTCAATAATCAGAGTCTCATTACATCTTTTCTCTTGATACTCAACATAGCATTGACAAAAGTCTCCTTCTCGAGCTTATCTTCTCGAAGTCTTCGAGACTCATGTGTTCAACCTCATTTAGGCATACTTCTTGCCTCTATTCACGAGATTATTTGATATCGCTTCTCATTCATCATTCTCGAGATTCGGAGTTAATGTTTCTCGATCTGAAGTGCGCATTGTAATTTTCGAGCAGATCTCTTGTTCTGCCGGTTATTGACAATACACCATTATATCTGAAATAGTAAAAATCTCCACTACTTCTTCTTCTATAATCCTCTCAAGGAGCGAGGCATTCGCCTCGATATTTCTCTGGGACAAATTGTGAAGACCATTACATAATGCTTTCTCGATTAAAAGTCTAGACTAGTGACTTCATCTTCCTCAGACTTTGATGTCAATCATTATAACTGACATGCACATGGATAAAGGTACGCGCTAATGCTTTTTTTGCTTTAATCTCTCCCCGATGCTAACCTGTCGCAGGTTCTCGATCCAAGTCAATTTTTTCCGAACTTGAAGAAACTATATACTTCACGTTATCAAGCCTACCCTATCTTCAGACTTCGAAGTATAGGCTTAATAAGGGGCAATTGACGATTCCAAATTAGTGCGGCCCGCGACTAAGCCGGCCCAAGTTCGGTAAAAGGTCCAACCGGCCTCTGGAAACTTCTAGGTCGGTTCTTAATTACTTTTCTACCAAGAAAGGGTTCAATAACCTAGGTCTATAAATAAGGATCAACCCTTCGCGGTTAAAGGTACGCTCTACGCATCACAACTCATACCCTATTAACAATTACTCTTACTGACTTAAGTATCGAAGTGTCTACCCTCGGGAGAACCCGAGGCACTCTTTTGCAGGTTTTAGAGTTTTGACTCCGGCATGGCTGCCGGTTCAACCAATCAGAGACGTTGGTGCAAATCCATGTTTCGTCAAGTTTGAATTGTTTATTCCCTACTAGTATTCCAAGTTCACAAATGTAACCTCTAATAGACCACTGCCACATTTCTGCATGAAATCCGGAGTAAATATAACATTTCAACCATTGAACAGAAAGCAACTGAAATAAATAAAAACAAAATGGTAGAACTCAATTTTAGCACAAAGTATTGGATGTTGCTGAGGCTTAAATCATGATATGAAATAAATATCGAGTTCCTGGAACGACGACTGTGTAAAATGCTCACTTCAACTCATAACAATTCTGATTATCATTATATTATTTCCATCAAACAGAAAAAGAACTAAAAGACGATGAAAATTGATGGTAATTTGGCGTGCCACTTGCTTACTCCTGCTGGGAATGTCATTTAATCTTCAAGTTGGGAATATGGGAAATCTTGTCCCGCACTGAGTCATGTCTTCTCTTGCACCTTTTTGATAACTCACCACAACTCTCAATGGTCAAGTGGGTAAGGCGTTGAAGTGTTTTCGCCGAGGGTAACTCCTTGAGGCTAGGGCAACCCCGAAGAGACAATTTGTCAAGACACTCTAAATTACCCAACCACTCTGGAAGAATCTCCAAAGAAGTCCAGTTCTGTAGCCATAATTCCGTCAAAGAAGACATATATTGCAGTTGATCTGGTAGAGATTTGACTTCTCGCAAGTTATACAATGTAAGATGCCTTAGAGAGACAGAATGAGGGGCTGCATCAGAGGTGATGTTTGGATAGGGCCATGGCAGCATTTCCACGGAAGCGAAATCGCCTCCCAATAGTAATTTTTCAAGGTTGGTTAGGTGATGCAAATCTTTTGGCCACGAACTCGGGTGGCAATCGATACTCAGATATTCAAGCGGGGCTGAACTCGAAATCAGGCTGCAAACAACATCAGATGTGGAGGATGAATGCTTTTGCCTCTCATCATCATCAACAATTCCTATTTCTTCTTCTATATATCCCTGCCCCTTTTTCATAACTTCACTTGACTTTATCAAATTTGGGCATCCTTGTATGCTAAACACTCTAAGTCTTTGCAAGATCTCCAAATTTGGGAAAGCGCACAAATTAGGTAGGTTCCACAATGCCATCTCCTCTAGCCTGGGAAACAGTCTGACTTGAACGGACGGTTGTGATGATGATGGCTGTGCCGGGGCTGCTGGATCTGTTCCAATTGACCACTCCTCCAGATTATCCATGGATTCCAAGGCAAGTTTCTTCAACGCTGGAAAGACAAAAACATTTCCTGGTCCATAGAATTTTTCTGTGATGAATTTCACCTTTCGTAATCCACGTATCTCTAGACGTTCAAGACGAGGCAAGTCTCCAAGTGCTGGAATGCTTTCACAATCAACCAAATCCTTCAGCTCAAGTCCCTTCAGATTATGAAGTGATGAAGACAAACTATTGTCTTTTGTCATCCAAGATGGAAACTTCCGGATTGGACAGCCGTGAATTTTTAATGTTTCTAAGTTCGGCCTCGGATTCAAGTCTTCCATTATCGCATCAATGTTATCATTGCCGCCTTCTTTAGTTCTTCTCCTTCCGGTTTTATCCAACCAACATAGCTTTAAATCTCGCACACCTGACTTTTTGAACAAGGTGACCTCAACCTGTGGAACATGGTACAAATTCAACTCATATTCACTCAAATCAATTGTTTGAAGATTTCCCATTTGGGCGAGTGTGTGCATAGGACCAAACCGATATGCATACATATGCCTCAAATTAGTTAATTTATCAAACCCATCTCCACCATTTGTCAACACGCCGACTCTTAGTGTCTGCAAATAATACAACTTTGTGAAGGACTTGGGGAGACTAACATTTTTTACCGCAACAAATCTTATTGTCTGCAAATTCTGCGGCTGTATGGACTCTGGGAGACTTGTGTGTTCGAACTCAAGAAATCTCAAGTGTTTCAGCTTCCCAATTGAATTCGGCAACTTCACGGTTGTGAAACGCTGATCTCGAATAATTAAAACAGAGAGACATTTGAATTTCTTAAATAAATCTTCCGACAAGTCACATTCACCTTTAAGAATGAGTGTTCGCAACGTCGAAGGAAGGAAAGGAATCAAACTCTTCCACATCTCCTTTTGGCAGGATTTGATTGATACATGCACCGCTTTAATTGAATGGTTTATATCCCTCCAATCTTCCACATGACAGCAGAAATTTCGCGACACTTCCAATGCAAAATCATGCACGATGTCGTGCATTCTGCTGGTTATGATATTATTGTCATCATCCCTTCGAGCACCTTGGAACAAAGAACTCTTCAACAAAATATCATAATAGATACTGCCAACATCCTCCATCTGCAAATCTTGTTGATGAATAAGAGGACTAAGTAGACCTTGTGCCATCCAAAGTTGAATGATACGATCCTTTTTCAAGATAGTATCTTTATCAAAAACTGCACAGTATGCAAAACATTGCTTGATAGGTAATGAAGGTAAATGGTCATAACTAAGCTTGATACTGGCAAGAACTCTGTCTCCTCCATTATACAGATTCCATGTTCCGCTGCGCTCGATCATTAACCACTCTGATTTAGATTTCTTGGATCCTAATAAAGACGCTATTGTCTTAATTGCTAAGGGCAAACCTCCACACTTTTCCAATATCTTTGCCCCAATTCCCACCAATTGCTCTGTACCTGTTACACCACCCTCTGCAAATGCATATTTCTCAAATAACTTCAAACTTTCATCTTTTGAAAGTATACCAAGTTCATGAAACTTAGATGTCCCCATCACTAGAGCAACCTCTTTATCACGTGTGGTGGCCAAGATCTTGCTCGCCTTAACATCACCAATTTGAAGTAGACAATTCCTCATGTCATTCCATTTGCATTCATCACGATTCCAAACATCATCCAACACTAGCAAATATGTTTTGCCTTTCAACTCCTCTTTTAACTTTTCTACTAAAGCTTCTTCATTTGTCAATTGCACACTAGTTCTTGTGAGGCACTGGAGTATTTCGTCTAGCAATTTTTTCACATCAAAATCTTCTGAAACACAAACCCATATGGTTTTATCGAAAGAACTCTTCACCTTGACATCGTTGTAGACCCTTTGAGCCAGAGTGGTCTTCCCTTGACCTCCCATTCCATGGATGGTAATAACCGGCAAATCTTTCTCGTAGGTTGTATTGATCAACATGTCAATCAGGGCTTTGATGTTTTCCTTCCTCCCCACAATTTGTGATTCCTCAATGTAAGGTGATGTTGACCTTAACCTCAATTCACTCAAATCAGGAGATGACTTTACCAACTTCTCTAGCATGTGAGAAATTTGAATTCCTTCTGTATAAACATATTCAATGGATTGCTGAACCTGTTTGATCTTTTCAGCCATCTTTAGCCGAAATAAAAGAGGATTTGAACTTGAAAAAAAGGCTTGTACTCTGTCTTTCTTTCGCATCTCAATCTTTTGTCGAAGAACTTCGTAACCAAACTCTTCCAACACAATCTGAGCATCAAGGCTGACTGACTGGAGATTCACCACCCAAATCTGCTGAGGCTCACTAATTGTTTTCTGCTGAAGAACATGATTCAACATAGCTTGAATCATCCTCAGCTGCTTCTTTAGCTTTTCGAGTTCATCCTTCACACCCCATATAAGACTGATCTTTTCAGCAGCAAATGAAATTACCATGTTCAAGAGTGTCTCTGTAACAACTCCAATTGCAGCATCAGCCATCTACATTAAATTTCAAGCAAAAAGTCATAAAATAGTTTGATTTCTAAACGAAATTTTCTGGATATCAGCTGGGAAGATAAAGGAATGAATGAGAAAAATGTAGAGAACTAGAAAAGCCATTTTGTCTCAAATGAAAAATTATTTCATCTCTATTATTATTTGAATAATTACTTTGGCTGTATTACTCTCATCTAACAGAGCACTCAACAAATATTAACAATTTACTGCGTATGATGTATAGTACGTAACTTTTTGTTTTATCCATAGTTTCCATTGTATTAGTACTTACCAGCATTTCGTGTGGGTTGAAATAATTTCTAGATTAAATTATACAAATTCTAATTAGTAAAAAATGAAAAGTTATTTATCCTTCCCATGATTTTGTAAAAAAATTGTAAAATCTAGTCTTTTTTATTTTGTAAATAAACTGTAAAATCTAGTTTATTTTTTTCCAAATTTATTCTCAACAAAAGAAATTTAAACCAGTAAAGTAAATTGATACCTCATATAATAATTTTAAAATAATGTTGTTAAACTATAAATTAGAACTTTCAACTTATACAAATATTGGAACGAAACAAAATTCAAATAACCCTATGTCACAAAATACGATTAAGAAATGATAAAAAATATTAGTAAAAAAAATTTAGTTATAATTAGCCACACATCTCAAATCACAAAAGTATCTCTATTCATTAAAAACCCATCACAATGATCAGCACCAACACCTATAACCATATAACTTGCACCACTATTTGTAAATATTAATCCATATAACAACCAACATCATTTTAAAAATTGAAACAAAATCTTATATAACTAAACTTATCGTATGTTTCACATGGCTAATCCATTCAGTTGAGATTTTTTAAATCTTATATACAATTATATAATTGTTAATACAAAAAGGTAATGATTAATTTTTTTACCGTACATTTTGACTGAAATTCTAATTGCGCGCTACGTTTTGTATTAATATATAGCTCCGTAAGAAGCTCAAGTCAAGGGTTTTCTTTTCCCTTCAGTTTTCAGTTAAAAGACTATTTTGCAATTCAACAGAAAAACTATTTTTTGGAATTAATACATTTTGGGTAACCTATAAGTAAAATAGTCCAACATTACCTGCAAACTCCTTTTCAAATCAGTGAACTATAGACATAATTATGGTGTATTTAAAAGAATATAAGTACAAGAACGCAAAATTCATGAGTATTATTCTATTTTGGGGATCTTATGAAAATTCCCTTTTTAAACTTTTATGGAAAAAATAACTTTCATTACCCAAAAAGAAAAAATTTCACTGCTTATTAACTCGAAAAAGTGCAGTATCAAATGATCATAGATAACATTCTTTTTTATGTTTATGTAAACTGCGCAAAAGAACGGGCAACAATTTTACGAGATCTGTATATGCATGTGAGAAACACCTTATAATTAACCAACAAAAGATTAACCAAGTGACGAACACCATCATTATCATGAGGGACTAACTGGAGTGAACATCAATATAATGTTTTATTGCTAGGACTAAAAGTGGAAAATCATTTTGACCGTCAAACTGGAGTAAGCCCACCTTTTATCACGGTTTTAGAACCACATGTTTCCATTTTAAAAGCGTCAGTTTGTGGTTTTAAGATTCAAGGAACAGCAACCGAGCCTTTCCATGAAACAGGACTTCACTGTTATCGTTTTGATACGGTTTGGGTTACGAATATGGTTACGTTGTGTAAGAGGCGGAGCCAAGCCCGAAAGATGTGATAGGGTAAGAATTTTTTGTTTTCCTAATTTATTATACTTGTCTTTTTAGATTTTTAATTTAGGTGGTGCAAAAATTATATTTTCATAAAAAATTCTTGAATTTACAGAGAATAACTAGCACAAATTAAAAATTCAGCTGGGGCAATTGCCCCACTAATCTTCTATTTAGCTTCGTCCTTGGTTGTGTTCTCTTTTTAATTAATCACTAAGGTGCGTTCACTGCATTGGAAAAGGAAATGCATTATAATGTGAAATTAAAGCTATCAACTTATAATCTTGTCGAAATAATTCAAAATTAGGTTTTAGGTAAATGTATTGTCTTCTCATGAATTATGCTCTCTTAACTAAAATGTAATTGCAGTCTTTTTCGAAATTTTGATGAACGATATGTTTAATCTATTATTTTTCAGGAGGCGAATCAACAACTTAACTTGGTCACCGGCTTGACCACTCCAACCACTTCTAGGGCTGTCAACGAATCGATGCTGACCAGCTTGCGAATAACTTAGTTAAAGTTTGGTTTGAATTTGATTTTGACCGAACTTGAGTTGAATTGGAACACTTCGATTAAAATCGAACACGAATATCAAAATGCTTGATTCGAGAGCTCGTCGAGTCTATTCGAGCTTATCATATGTAATTCATGGAAACTTTTTTTTGTATTTCCTAAAAATTATTTTTTTTTTTATATTTTGAAGAAAAAATAATAAGATACACATATTTTTTTTTATGATTTATTAAGAAATCTTGCTCATAAAACTCATAGATTACATGTGTTAAGTTGAAAATGACATATATCAAAACTTATTCGAGCTCAATATTATCGAGAATTTGAATTCAATCTTTATCGAACACTAAAACTCGATCCAATTGAACCGAGGGCGGACTATTCGTTTTTATTTTGAGCCAAATTCAAATTTCAGTTTAGATGTTTGATCGAGTTCGAACTCAAATACGAGCTCCAATTTTTTTTTTTCTCAAACTCGAATTCGAGCACCCAACTGTTTGGCTTGACTCCGTTCGTTGACACCCCTAATCACTCCTCGAGACAAGTAGAACCTTGCATTTTTTTTCTGCTATTTAAAAAAACAAACAAAAAAAAAACATAACTACTTTAAATTAGCGGTTTATATGTTTTTAAAAATAGATTTTTTTTTAAAAAAAATAATGTGTTGAAGTAAACTGCTACTTTAAAAACTATAGGAAATTTTTGTTTTCGGAAAAGCTATAATAAACTTTTTAAAGAAATTAAAGAAAAAATTTAAAATTTTACTTCAATATATAGTCTAAGGAATCAGCCATCATCATACTCGTGCGCGCGTGCCTAATCAATTTCAAGTATTGTTTGTGTAAATGCCATTAAGGGTTTGATATTGCCATTGGAGGGCATGATTGATCCCTAGGATTGATTCTTTTGGATTAAGGCATGGAGATTGTGGGCTTGGAGGAATGGGAGAGTTTTTGGAGGGCGGAATGTTGGGGTTGCGCAAAGGGTGGGGTGGTTGAGGGGTATGTTGATGGTGTTTGAAGTGCGTTGTTGGGTGACAAGAACTTGGGAGCAGAGTTGTGACGTGAAGTGCGCATGATAAGTTGGTCGCCTCCTCTTATCGACTGGTTGAGAGTTAATTCGGATGGTAACTTTAAACATTCGACGAGAATGGTGAGTGCAGTAGTGGCGAGAGATTCTCATGGCCATTGGTTGGGAAAGTTTATCATGAATATTGATTTTTGTTCGATTACAGAGGCAGAGAGAACTGTTCCACGTGCTTAGTTTTGCGTGGAGGAGTGGTTATAAGAAGGTGGTTGTGAAAGATAATAGCCAAAGTATCTTCAAGATGGTGACAAAAAATGAAACGATGTTTCGTGTTCATACAAATCCTGTTGGTGGGATTTGACAATTATTATATAGAGAATGGAAGGTCGAGGTACGTCATGAGTTCTGATAAGTAAATTTTGTAGTAGCTTGTTTGGCATCTTTGCCAGCAACAAACTTCGGTGGGTTATAATAGTTTGATAGTCCATCCGTTAGTATTCTACCATGGTTTGATCATGATATAATTGAAGTGGCATATCCCCATAATGAAACAAGTTAGTTGTAAGGTGTGAGCCTTTTTTGATGTACCAAAAAAAGATATTGTTATAAAACTTTACCGTGAATGTTGATTGTGTGGTTGATGGCTTTACTTTGAGCTAAGTAATTGAGCCTTTATACTTTTTCCATTCTAGAATAGCTAGTTTTTACACTACGCGTTACATGGAATGTGAGTATTGAACTAAAAATAATTAAATACAAAAATAAAAAATTTTATTCATCTTGTCAATATTCGAAGATATAGTTAATTTGTCAGAGAAGATATAGTTTCATGTTCAAATAGTCGATGCTCTGTTCATTCTTGAATAACACGGATTTTTTTTTTCTGGATTTTTGTTTTTAGAAAAAAACTCAGAAAAAAATCAAAAAATTTAAGAATAAACAGTGTATATTTAGAGATAGACCACTGCGAGAAGAACAAAATGTTTGAGACAAAGTCAAAATTAAGAAAACAAGGGAAAAAGAGGATGACAAGGGTGATTCAAACAAAGAGGCCTGATACTTTAATTCGATTACCGGAGAAATAAATTCAAAAAAAAAGAAAAAGAAACTCAATCACGAAAACGATCAATAATGAGACTCTTTTTATGGCTACTTTGCCAACAGTGAGGTGATGGTGAAAAGTCAGAGAGCAGAATATTAGAGTTTAGGAAGTTGGCAGGAAATACTTTCATTATTCATTTAATTTATTTTCTTTTTTTTAAAAAAAAAAAATTCCGATCAAAGACCTGTGAGACTCACAATCTATCGAGAAATCAGTAAAAAAAATAAAAATTTAATGAAAAAATGAATTGGGCCATTAATTTTTCAAAAATTCTGTTAAAGTGATTAAAATTGTTGAAAAAAGATATTAAGGGATTGATTTTTATTGTTTGAAAATACATTGCGGGTCTCAGTTCAATAAAAAAATTAAAAAACATAATAGAAAAAAGAGTTGAACGTTAGTTGACCATAAATTCCGTTAAATTGACTAAAATTGGTGAGTAAACAAAAAGATTGTAGCCATTTTTGTTGATCAAAATTTTATGGTGACCCGAAGTTATGACCCCCAAACATAAGGGACCAAAAATGAGTTTTCTCCCTTTTTTTTTTTTTTTTATTTAGCATGCATCGATGTTTTTTTTTTTTTTTTTTTTGATGAAAAGGAGCA